TCTTTTCTGAATTTATAAATTGTCTAGGGTTTTGGTGAATGTATGCGTGCATACTGTCAAGATACAAAATGAAACAATAACATTCCCCGCGTGGGCCTCAAACAACCCGGCCAGCGCTCCGGGGCAGGTCACAAACGGTCAAGGCTAAGCGAGCCCGGCACGGAGTACGCTCAGCGCTTCCGGTAAGCGCTACGAGGGTTAACATCTACAGAAATGTTTGCTATCTTATACAAACTCACTTGTAAACTCAAATGTCCAATGCCTCTCATAACCACACTCCTCCGGAGAAAAAGACACATCTTCCAAAAAGACGGGAAATAGCATAGAACCACAGTCAGAAAAGCCTGAGTCCTCGTAGGGAGAGTTGATTGGGTAAATAAGTCCCAGGTCCTCCATTGAGGTCAGCAGCCTCTCGGAAAAGGCAACAACAGCGCCCAGGAACTCTTGCATCTGCGTCCTGACAGAAGAGACGAGACCGCAAGGCATAAAATTAAAAATTTTAAACATCTCCTGCTGGAAGAATACTACCGTTCAGGCGTCAATTTAGTCATTCAACACCAATAAATCTGACTAACTTTACTGCTGTTCAAACAGTACATACACACAGACACAAACACTTTCCAAATGTATAGACAGTCATGGAAACCATCGGCTCAAAAGGAAGTAAATCACTCTCATACTTGAATTCATATATTTACATAAGGTGGCGTCCAAAGGAAACTTGAAAATGTAATCACCGAATCATCGTGTTAAAGTTAAAGCCTTGCACTACCCACCCAAGCAGCATACATACCAATAAGTTCAATAAATTCTCTACCATCTGATACATTAATTCATCTATGTTCAGACATGCCCAAGATATGGTCACTCAAAAGTGTCTTTAAAAAATCAGGCTTGGCAAAATTGTGTCCAATCAAAAAAACATAAAATTGTCTTCATGTGTGTATTGAGGAGCATCAATAATAAGAGAATGGATATATAATTTTTATGGCAAATCCAAAGAATGGAGAATTTTCTCTCTGCAATAAATAATATTTTATTACAATAGTTTCAAACAAAACAGAAAACAGAGCAATCCCAAAAAACCATGCAAAACTTGGACTTCGCATTAAATGTGCTCCTTGTTATTTTGCTTAGGAGCCATTGGTTTTTGTGTATACACACACACATATATATATATATGAGAGAGAGAGAGAGAGAGAGAGCGAGAGAGAGAGAGAGAAAGAAAGAGAGAGAGAGAGAGAGAGAGAGAGAGAGAGAGAGAGAGAAAGAGAGAGAGAGAGACAGAGAAAAAGAGAGAGAGAGGAGAGAGAGAGAGGAGGGGGGGGGGGCAGGCAGGCAGGCAGGCAGGCAGACAGACAGACAGACAGACAGACAGACAGATGACAGAGAGACAGAGACAGAGTAAGAGAAAGACAGAGAGATACAGAGACAGCGTGGTGTGTATTTGAGAATGTTTGTATGATGCATAAAGTTTGACTGCGTTCAGAAGGTACTTTTACAGAAGCTGGGGAAAGCATGCTGCCAACTTATTTCCATTGAAGGAACGACTACTTTCTTTCACCTTACCGTTAATTCTGTTACTGTACGGGATTTCTCACCTTAGGATAATGCCGCTGGTGTTGAGCCGGAGCCAAATGTCCTGCCGCTGCACGCTCTGCCGGTCTCTGTCTGTGCACTGTGCCAGTCGTGACAAAGACTCAAAGAACCTTGTTGGAAGAAGCAGCTCTTCGTTGTGTTCAGTGAAGCATTGTGCATTCATAGAACCTGCGACAAAAGAAAACACCAATAAAACAAAAAATGGTGCAGCTGTAGCATGGGTATAATGCTCCGTTCAAAACTAAGACAAAATAAGAGGTGAGACCTCCGAATCCAGTCTACATTTTCCGTTGTGATGGATTTAAAGCCTCTTTCAAAACTAAGATCGCTGAGGAGTTGAAACCTCCAAATCTAATATGCATCTCCCAATGATAACAGTCAAACAGGTGTGCCTTTCGTAAAACTCCTAGCAACCCGGGTTCAATAATGCCCAGGATCACCCGCACCATACTCTGACATGATACCAACAGAGCTAACTATGTGCCTGTAAAAAGGAGGGGGAAAAAATGACAGCTATTCCAAAGTGACTATGAAACCTCCCCCCCCCCCCAAAAAAAAAAAAAAAAAAAAAAAAAAAATTTAAATGAAAAAATTAAAATCTTAATTCATTCCTTTAGAGTAGAGTCTGAAGTTCTGTAAGCTAAACGAGCTGGCAGAAAATATAAAAAACTAGGTGATAGAACGAGAGCAAAACATGCTCGTTAGCGTTTCTCTGCTTTGCAAGTGAAAAAAAATGGTACGACCCCACAACCAATTGCTCAAACCTGTAGGTATCTATTTCAAACTACAACTTGATCACAGAACTGAACCCTTACCTTTCCATTGAACATTCAGGGAAACAAGGACAAACGACAAAATGATATGATAAGTAATACAGTGGTGTCCACCAGCAAATCCATTGGGAAGCATGCCTTGGTTGCTGTAAAATTTTTTAATAATCCCTTCTGAGGGTTTCACCTGTCTAAGATGGAAAATGCTTTGCCCGCTCAGCCCTGATTTGAAACAAAACTCGCAAGTTTGGTTACGCCGGCTCTAAACTTAACGCTATGGCGAGGAAGGCAGTAGGGGTGCAATTTGGGGGGAGATGTGTTACCCTATAACGTGAGCCCTGAGCGATACAGATGGTCAGGGTAGTGAAGGTGTGAAATCTCACGATTGCGGAGAGTGCTCGAGTAGCGAGCCACTAGGCCTACGGAAACTTTCCTGGGTAGCCAGAAGCCAGAGGTGTGAAATTAGTTAGACCAATGCCTGCCGCCCTGATCGTATGCCAGCCGAGAAATGAGTTCCTCAAATCGTTGTTACATGATGGCAGAGAGGGGTGGCATTGGTTGACTGTGCTTGTTACACCGATGGGTGGAGATGAGGGTGGAAGCAAAGGAGATGTTCCAAACGTTTCTATTTTTAATAGGTCAAACAGTGATCTTATGAAAGTCAAGCACTGGTGGTAATTGGATAAGAAAGAGTGACGCATGTCATGATCAGACAGGACAGCAGCTGAGAGATGTGAAGTTTTGATCACTGCTTGCCCATCAAACAAGCGATCCTTGACCCCACCGGCAGGGCCTTTGACCCCCCCCCCCCCTTCCACCTCCCCCTAAATTCCCCTGCCTAAGACGGAATTTTTTTCTGGCTCCCTTGCGATTCCGTCTTACACAGGTTCCACTGTACTAGAAAAATTTTGTTATACAAGCTTAGGCAGAGATTACTCTAAACTGGGTTGTTTCTTAATTGGACACCACAGTACTAATAAGAAAAATGTAAATATTACTTTAAAGTTCATTCATATGGTGCTTATTCCAACATAGCTCTAGGCATTTGATTCTGTTCATAACCAAACCCCCTCCCCCCCAAAAAAACCCAAAAAAAAACAAACAAAGTACATGACATTTAAAAAAAAATACACAGCACCTTTCTGCTCAACTCTTTCTTGCTTTCTCTGCCTCGCTGAGTAGGCCTATACCAGATACCGTCGGTGTTCTAAGCAATCCACTTACGTTCATTACGGTACTTTTTACAAAAGAGACAAAAAACAAATTTTTGCTGATTTGCTCGTATCAGGAATCATGAAAAGCAAGAACTTTGTAAAGCTTGACCATAGCATTAAACTGCATTTTGGTGAGGTTGAAAGGTGCATCTTTGATAGAGCTTTGGAAGGGTGTGAAAATCGAGAATTCTTAAAATTTGGACTTAAGTGGATAGCTTGCCATAGCAACGGTATATATCTTTTTTTGTTTTGTTTTTTTCATTTTGGTAAGTGTTTTATGGCCCTCACAACTGCATAAGGTCATATGAGCGCGCGGTACACACTAAACATTTCAAGTTCCTAAGAAATTTTGAATTTCACCCTGGTGTCGGCCGATTTTGGACCACCAACAGGTCTTTAACATGTGCAACTTGCACGCGGGACCTCCGAGATTTTTAGCCTTTATCCGAGAAGGCTAGGTGTTAGATCTTACCTACTATAAGATCAGGGGTGTGGCTGAAAGACAGCAGTAGAAGGAGCCAAGGAGTAGCAGTAGAAAGGCAAGGCTGCAAAAAGAATCAGGAGCCCAGAGAAAGGAGGTGAGGGGGTGGGGGCAGAAAGTGGAGACGAAAAAACAGAAGGCAGAACATTGTTAGAGAGCAGGAAACGATGTGAAAGGAGAAAATTTTAGATGAGAAAATTGTCAGTCGCTATCCTTCGAGATGTTTGTTTTAGTAAGAGTTTTACAACACTTGCAACACAATAAGGTCATATAAGTGCTGAAGATTAGAGGTGTTACAAGAGCATAACAAACACAAAAAAGGAGGAGAGATCAAGACCATAGATGTTTGATAAGAAAGAAGGAGCAAACCACACCAGAGCACTCACCAACCACCCACCGTCGCAATCCAGATTCGAACCCGGGACCTATTGAATGAGAGGCAGACACCTTAACCTCTAGCCCACGAAATACACTTTCATACATATCCTCAAAAGAAACACGAATGGACGAAATAAGACAACCAATCATTGAGCCAAGTTCATTGAGCCAAGTTGCAGTTCTCAGCTTTACAATTCTTCATCCTCAGCACTGAACCTCCTCATCATGAAGTGCAAAATCTGAAGCAGACATCGACAAACACTTGGTTTGCCCCTGATAGCTCTGCTCAGCTGGTCTCCCCCCCCCCCCCTGCAAAAAGCAACAAAAGCTATATTATCCTGGACTTTCCATATCCCCTATCTGTTCAAATTCTCAAAGTAACTTGTTCTTGGCCTACCCCTGCCTCTTTTACCGTCTATATTTTCAGTCATCATCATCATCCAGTGCCAGATCTGCGTATGACATCGGCGATAATGGTTCTCAATTCACTCCTTTGCTCGGATGCTCTCAAAAAAGCTACGTTTCCCTGATCTTTCCCTGTAACCCATTTGTTTAGGTTACCCAAGTATGTTGTTCTGGGCCTTCCAATGCCTCGCTTGCCCTCAATTTTGCCAGTGAGAGCTAGGTGTTCAAGACCCTTATGTCTATTTATGTGTCCCCAAAACTGCATTTGTCGTTTCCTGATCGTTTTTAACATTGAGCGTCCCACGTGGGCTTCATCAAGCACTACCTCATTTGATTTCTTTTCCTTCCACGATACTCTTATCAGTCTCCAAAGATACCACATTTCTGTTGCTTCTATTTTATTTTCACTGTTTTTAGTGATTGTCCAGAATTCACAGCAATATAGAAGGGTTGACCAAACATAGCATTTCAGAACTTTCATTTTGGTGTTCATTGAGATTGTTCTATTTTTCAATGAACACCAAAATGACAGTTCTGAAATGCAATGTTTGGTAAGAGTAAGATATTCAAGGCCTTTATGTCAATTCAAATATCCTATTTGTGAGTAGGCCAGGCAGGCTTCTTTCAAAAGTAAAGCTATTGAGAAAAAAAAATCCCAATCAATCCTGATAGCCATCCATCCCTGCAAGTGGCAGTTATACACTACTCAGCCGTAAGCTGACAAAACACCTTTTTTTCATCTTCACAATAGTTTCAAGATCAAGAGGCTTTTTGTCAGAAAATCATTCAAAAAAGGCGATCTTCTGAAATTTGAATTCAAATTTATTCAAAAACTAGTCACAGTTTCACTTTGACTTTTTCACACAAGTAGGTAACTGATCAGGCTTTCGATTTTGCAAATATAAAAATTTGGCACCAAATATGAAAAAAAAGGCATTTTGTCAGCTTATGGCAGTACTGGTACAACAAGAAAGGACTCACCTGCAGTGATGAGGTTCCCTGTGTTTCTCAGATCTTCCAGGACCTGCACCACAGAGTGCTTAGAAGAGGACGTTCCTTGTTTCCAATCCTGCAAGGTTTCCGTCAAATCTCTCACATTCATGGTCAGCTGCTGATGGTTCACCAGCATATCCAGAGCCATCGCTGTTGGTAGGCAGACTTCCTGCAGTCCACAGATGTTCCTCATGCTGTCGAAGATCTCAGCCCGAGTCCTCGCCGCGTGGGACGTTGTACCCTCGCGGACTGGAATCACATCCGGTGGTGGCAACAAAGATACTGCTGGGGAGGTGTAGAACAAAGACATCACCTCTTCTGGTTGAATATTCTCTGGTTTGAGGGCAAAAAGTTTCAGATGAGCATTTATGCCCGGAGTACCCGTCCGCACAGTGTGGGCCAGACTGAAGAGCCGTTGCATTTCCGACTCAACCGAGTTGATCAGGCGCTTGTAGTCGAATGCCAAAATGAAGATGCACTTTGAAGTGAACATCCAAGGGCAGCAGTGGTGGAAAAAGCTATCATCTGACACAGAAATCAACTGCACGTTGATGCACGAGGCTTGGGATTCCTGTAGGAGGTATGTGAATGACTGGGCACAGTCTGTGATCACCTCCCCACTAGGCTGTCTCCTCAAAGACACTTGGAAGTAGGAAGCCCGGGAGTCGAAAGGGATATTGATGACATCGCCAAAGATGCACCGTACAAACTCATTGGTGCCGCTGCCAAACACAAACACTCTGACCTGAGGCAGAACATTTTTGCGAGGCTCAATTTCCCTTGGAATTCTGAAAGAATAAAGTATGATTGAAAAAAAAGTGCGCTCTTTGACCAACACTACATAACATGAAACAATACCCATTCACTTACCATAAGTGGCAATACTGGAAAAAATCATAGCATTCTTCATGAAAACCTTGTTCCTTGTATAAACTGTGTTACGACGCGGTGGAATCAGGCACTCATCAAATTTTAGACATTTGGAGTTTTTGATATCATCTTGACACTTATTCTGACTTATTCATTTATTTATCTTTTGATGAAAAAATACCCGTCTATCTTGAATAGAAGTCGAGATATTTGCAATTGAAGGAGTTGGGGATCGCCTGGTTTCAGAGGTAAAATAAGCAAGAAAATGAGCACCCAAGCTTGTTAACTTCAATAGCTTGAGAGTCCTTGAAAACTGTAAATTTAGACATTTTGTGCCTTTAATCAACATTTTCCAGTAAAATTCACATGGAAATGTGTTTTTAAATGGATATAAAATAGGTTAAGCCAAAAAAAAAAAAATTCAATAAAAATGGACAAACTGGCAGAAAAATGCCAGTTTCTTTGATTTCATTATTTTGACGAGCGTCGTATTTCACCACGATGCCTCACAATTATTATTGCAAGTCACAGACCCATCCAATCTTTCAAACCCCAAACCTGAAAATCATCAAGAAATTAAAGGAACCCTTAAATCAATGGCAAATCATTCAAGCTTGAAAAAAATATCTTACCATATTGATCATTACATGACAGTCAAAAGACACATTTGCGACCTATCATACTTCGGACATTCCATAAAAAGTGAAACTGCAGAGACGGAACACTGGGATAATGACCAGCTGAAAAAAATTTGACATAGTGATAAAGCCACTTAGTATTTCTTTTTTGGATTTTTATTGGAGGAAGGTTGCCTCTAATGTACAAGTGTCATGACGCGGTGGAATCAGGCGCTCGTCAATTTGTGGGCATGTAGAGTTATTGGTATCATCTTGAAGCTTGTTCATTTGTCTTGCCTCCACTGTAAAAAACTACCCACTTATCTTGAATTGAAGTCAACATATCTGTAGTTTGAAGGAGGTGGAGGTCGCCTTGTTTCAGAGGTAAAAGCAACGAAAAAATGGCTGCCAAAGTTCGGTTATTTCCATAGCTTGAGAGCCTGTGGTAACTGAACTTTTAATCAATATTTTTCAATAAAAATCCACACAGAAATGTTTTCTTGAAGGCACATAAAAGATGTCGAGCCAAAATAAACCAATTTGATAAAAATAGCAAAACTGGTGGGAAAATGCCAGTTTTTAAAATTTCATTATTTTGACAAGTGCCTGATTTCTTTTTTGTTTTTTCTTGGAGGAAGGTTGCCTCTAATATATAGAAACAGTGTGCTATTATCAGCTAAGAGGCTCAAAAGGCAAAAAAGTGACTTTCCATGAAATTTTTTTTTTTTTTAATCTATTGAAAGTCTGATGTCTTCTGCTTCATTTAAGATAAAAATAAACAAATATAATAGACAATAAATATCTTATTTTGATTTATTTTGAAGGTGTGTGTGGTTTGTTGCGAGCTTGGGTGACGAGATAAAGGAATTTGGACCTTGCTAGAGTGTAGCTGTGAATTATTTTTAGAACCATTACCTCACGGCCACCTGTGCTTCAACAAAGATAGTGGAGAATCTTTCCTTCAACGTTCTTCATTCGCAACTATTTTTAGATTTTGACCCCTTTTCGAGCATGAATGGTCTAAAATGTAAACAACTCTTGATTGGTAAATGGTAACTTCTAGCTCACTTCAAGCTTGTTTACGTAAACAGCTGACTGTGTGGGCGTGCCTTGCAAGCTGTTATCGTCTGTTGATCTTTCAGTTTTACACTTGGATTGACTTAAAAATTCGTTTTCATTGTGTTTTAGTGCTTTTAAAAGATTAATTAACCTTCCTCTATATCTCTCAAAGTGGACTCATTATCAAGAGGCCACCAAGGTGGTCTATGTGCAAGTATGTGTATGTGTGTTGGTGTGTTTGTATGTGTGTGTATATGTGTGTGTTTGTATGTGTGTGTTTGTATGTGTGTGTGTGTTTGTATGTGTGTGTGTGTGTGTGTGCCTATGCTCTCGTGTGTTTATGGTGCAATTGCAAACGTATAATTAGGTAGCGTAAACACGGCATGTAAGCCGACTCGCGGCCTTCTGAGCGCGTGGTTTCGGTGAAATGGGGGTAATTCAGATCTCTGTTTCTTTGCTCTTTTGCTACAAAACACCAAATGCTGAAAACTTTGAAAAAGTTCAGATTTTCTTCGTTACAATAGTGTAAGTTGTTTGTATATCCGAGTATTTGGAGTTGGAGAATCGCAGTGGAAAAGGAAGCCCCTCGCGGTAGGAATGCGCGGTCAGCAGGTTCAAAATTAACACCCATGCATTCGAATGCTTTGTAGAAAGATTGATGATTAAATACCATTTTTTCATTGCCGGAGAACTATACAGCTTTGAGCGTGGTTTCCCGTGGTTATTTTTTTTGGCCTTTGGCGTTTTGGATAGAAAACCTTGAAAAAGAGAGTCTAAGATTTCAAAAATCATTTTTAACATGAAATGTGTAAATTACCGGCTAAAAAAAAGTACCAATAGATAGAACAGTTCTTTTTCTATTAGAATAAAGTCATCGGCTTGGAATTATTTTGCATGAATCCTTCCGCGAAACTCCGGGGAGTACTCTGTGCACTACAGTATAGAGCCGAATCGCTCGCTGTGGGGACCGGTGCGGCGCCGGCTGGGACAATACTCAGTGTTTTTATTGAAATAACCACAGATCATCGTGTTTGAGGCAATAAAATACTGATTTGTAATGATTTCACAGTCTTGAAAAAAATTAGGCTTCATTTCTTTGTTATAATGATTGTACTCTGTTAATGTAGAGATGTTTGGTGCACTTGGTACTCTTTCATTATCTGTCAGTCATGGGGTTGCAGCCAGTTAGCGACTTCAGCAATATTCGATTGTTATGGTAAATTGAAACAGCTGCCATTCTCTTAAACACTGACTGAGAGGTAAAAGTATGGTACCAAAATTCTCAGGAGACATAGGCCTTTCATATGAAACATGAATTTGACATACAGCTACATTGAAAATTATTTGGTACCTAGTATAATGCTACTATTTTGTTGCATTTGACGTAGAGCCCATTCTTGTGAAAATTTTGTTTTGTCCTTAAGTTTTTTTTCTGTGAATGAATAGTACTTTATTTCTGTATGTTACCTTGTAGTGGGCATAGCCAAGATAACTGCTAAGTTTCAAGTCTGTATCTCAATTCTAAGACTCCTGTTGCTATGGAAACATGTTGCTCAACTTCGGAGACCATTTTTTTCCTTTTTGTGTTTCCTCACCTCGCACAATTAAAAGTTCTGTATTTTCGTCAAATATGGTCATATTTACTTTACTCTCGTCTTAAATTGTAGGGGAAAGGTGATAGTTTTTAAAAATAATGTTAACTGAGTTTTGAAATTTCCTTCATATGACTGATATTGACTGGAACAGACATATATATATATATTTTTTTTTTTTTTAAAGAAGTAAAAATGGCTCAGTGACTACTTAGAAACTTTCTGCAGGTCATCCTCCCCACATAACATGTGTCACTGCAGTCTTACTTTTCATGGGATAGCCAGATTACCTAATGAAGCAAAAGACACTGACAAATTTGAGGCAGCATGGTAAAATCAGGCACTCGTCAAAATATGAAATTGAACAAACTTGCATTTTTCCTCTGTTTTGGCAATTTCTACCGAAATGTTGTTTTTTCGGTTCAACACCTTTTATGTCTAATTAAGAACATGAATTCTTTGTAGATTTGACTGAGAAACATTGATTAAAGGCACACAAAAAAGTAAATTTGCAGTTTCCAAGGACTCTCAAGCTTTGGAAGACACCAAACTTTGACTGCCATTTCCTCTCTAATTTTACTTCTGAAACCAGGCGACCCCCATCTCCTTCAATCTCAAATATCTCCACTTCTATTCAAGATAGATGGGTATTTTTCACCGAAAGTAAGACAACTGGACATGCTTTAAGAAACACCAATAACTCCACAAGCCCAAAAATTGACGCGCGCCCTATTCCACCGCCTTGTGACACAAATTGCAGTAACATGTAAGACATTAGATTCAATGCATCGCTAGATTTTTGAAAATTTCCCATTCCAACAAATGTCCCGTTCTTGGCATGGTTGCACTTACCTTTGCATAGGAAAATCTCCTGGTGAGGGTTCAAAGGGGGCATCAGGTGGGCTGGACGGAGGAGACTCAGGGGGTAGCAGTCTTCCTCCTCTCTCTACAGCAACTGGCTGCTGGCCAGGCTAGAAAGCACAAAAGAAAACACCTCTCAATTAAAACTTTGTCTAAGTAAGCGTTTTACGGCATTTGCAACACAATTAGGTAATTAAGTGCCGAAGATTAGAGGTGTTACAAGATAGTAACAAACATAAAATACGAAGGAGGAGAGATAAGGATGATAGAAATGCGCGATACGATAGGAAAGAAGGAGCAAACAACACCACAGCACTCGCCAACCACCCACCAACTTGGACCCTCTAATGATCAAGTGGGTAGTAGTGATTTTTTTTTTAAAATAGACAACATTTATAAAGTGTATTTCCACAAAGAAATTGCTCGCTGACGTATATAATAATATGAAAATACTGATTCCTTCATTCCCTCCCTTTCTCTGAGCTTCAACTCACAATTAGAAAGTCAAGTAATGTAGGAGTTGAGGGGGGTGGGCACTCGAGCGTGTCCTCAAACAAAACATTATCTTGCAATCATTATCAGAGCACAGCGCTGTGGTAACCACTAAAATCATCTTCATAATGTCCACATAGTACTATTGCACATTTTGAGGTGTTGCTGTCTAAGCAATGCAAAGACAGAAGTTCTCTTCAAGGATGTCCCTGGTGATATGCAGACACTCCCTCCTAGAATCTAAAGACATAATACAACATTGAACAATGTATACAGCTTTAAATATCATGGCAGTACACTATCTTCGAATGCTCGCATCGATACAGAAATAGCTGCTTTATGTATGAATAAAGCTAGTGCATTCTTTGGAACACTCAGAGCAAGGGTTTGGGATTGCTGTGGCATTCGCACAGAGATAAAGTAGAAAGTCTACAATGCTGTGATCCTCCCCACCCTGTTGTGTGGTGCTGAGATCTGGACAGTGTACCAAAGCCATGCAAAGAAGCATTATCATTTCTATATTAAATGCCTCCGGAGAATTCTTGGGATCAAAGGGCAGGATAAAAGGCCAGATACCAAAGTTTTCAAAAGGGCAAATGCCAAGAGTCTGTTTTCTAAGTTCAGAAAGACTCAACTTCGCTGGGCTGTCCATGTTATAAGAATGTCTGATTTCTGAATCCTAGTAGGCAGTATTCTTTTCTGAACTGTCCTCAGGGATGTGTAAGGTTGGAGCACCAAAAAGAAAAGAAAAAAAAAATGCTACAAAGAAAACCTGAAAATGTCTCTGGAAGGACTTCAACATAAATACTTCAACATGGGAGAGCATAGCTCCTGACAGCACAAAGGGCAGTAGGCACAAGCTGTACAGAGAGAAGATACCTGGTGCATAATGTTGATCTGCTCCACCCGGCTGGCTGCACCACTGGACAACTCTTTCGGATGCTGCACTTGAAGACGAAGCGTATTCATTTGCCGGAAATCTAATTCTTTTAACTGTTCCAGAATAAAAAGTAAAGATTTTTCCTTTACTCTCCACTTTCAGAACAATTTATTCGATTCCAATGTTGATAGGCTAAACAGTTCAGTAAGGGAACAGTAAGAGATGTTTTATTGCTTTGCACGTAGACCGTAGCCTTGTAGTATAAAGTTAGAGAAATTGTTCAGTGTAAGTGTCATATTGTGTATTTATGTACGTATTTATGTGTGTATTTATGTGTATGTATATATTTCTAATTATGTGTTTACGTATATATGTTTGACATAGTAACCCAAATTTCTCCACAAAGATCAATAACATGTAATTTATTTATTATTTATTTCACACCTGTTCACTACAGCATGCATCTCCCTGACCTTTCTGCATGACTTATACAATAACAGAAGCAATTGCTCTCTTTCTCCCTCCTCTCCCCTTAAAAAAATTAAACATACAGTCAAACTCTGTAATACCGCCAACCTTGGGATGATCATCAAATCGGTGGTACTGTGGGGCTGGTAAAAATACAGTTTTAACACTGTTCTCTGTTAAATACATGTGGTAGCCTACAGACAGCCCAGTGACAAGGGAAATTATTCTGCCATGACTGTAGGGAGGACAATATAAATATTATAATGAGTTTTTCTCTCAATCAGGAATGTTATGAGGTGGCCCTCAGGCCTTCTGCATGTGACAGTTGCTTGCTTCCAGAGTCATGTGAGGAAGAAAGGGAGATTATCTCTGCAAAGTTGCCAAGTAGGTGCTCTGCGTCCTGTGTAGCAGGTACCTCTAGAAGCCAGTCCGTTGGTTATGTTGTTGGGGGCAAACCTACATTAATTCAGTAAAGACAGTACAACCCGGGCAGTTTGCTGATGGCGATTTAAAGGGCAAATAATATGTTTATATAGGTGTTCCTTTTCTACACTGGCAATCCTTGGCAGTAAGTAGGGCTGGCAGTAAACTGAGTTTGACTGTACATACACAATATTTTTCTTCATATAACAAGGGACAGCATTCAAAGATACAGTGATACACAGTAGTATCCAGTCTTGACAAGGTAGGCTGCCGTAAGCTCACAAAACTACTTTTAAAAATTCACAGCAGTTTCAACATTAAGAGGCTCTTCGTCTGCGTAACCATTTTAAAAAGGCATTCTTACGAAACTGGAATTCTAATTGTGTCACGATGTGGTGGAATCAGGCGCTTGTCAATTTTTGGTCATATGGCGTCGGTAGCCTAGTGGTTAGGCTCTCAGACTCGCAACCGTAAGGTCGTGGGTTCGAATCCCGTCAGGGGCCTGACGTTGTGTCCTTGAGAAAGGCACTTTACACGAATTTTCCTCACTTCACCCAGGTGGGAATGGGTACCCGGCTATAGACCCATGCGCTATACAAATGCTATTTATTATTTATTATTATTATTAGAGTTACTAATATCATCTTAAAGCTTCTTCATTTGTCTTGCATTTGGCGAACAAAATACCCATCTATCTTGAATAGAAGTCGAGATGCTTGCGATTGAAGGAGGTGGGGCTTGGCTGATATGAAAGGTAAAATTTTGATGACTTCCAAAGCTAGAGTGTCCTTGAAAACTGGAAATTCACATTTTTATTGCCTTTAACGAATGTTTTTCCATAACATCCACACAGAAATATGTTTTGAAAGGGACATAAAAGGTGTTGAGGCAAAAAAAGAAAATTCGAAAAAAATTTCAAACAATTGGAAAAATGCAGATTTCCTTGATTTCACTCTTTTGATGAGTGCCTGATTTCACCATGTTGCCTCACAATTTATTCAAAAACTAGTCACAGTTTCACTTTGATTTTTTCACACAAGTAAGATAACTAACCCGGCTTCTGATTCAGCAAATAAAAAAATTGGCGTCAAAAATGAAAAAAGGTGATTTGTCAGCTTACAGCAGCAGTGTCATCACATCCGAACATCACACTGAACCTTAATTAAATCATTTTTAAAAATTTGAAAAAATATGATTGATCTGTTACAAGATTTCATTCCTCATTTTAAGAAATTTCCCTTCTCTCACATGGATCATAACATTTAATCAAAGGACTCTATAATCACTCAGCGTTTAAATCAAAACAAAACAACAACAACAAAAAAAGCACCTACCTTCTCAACAGAATCCAGAGGAATGGTGTTCATGGAGAGAATCAAGTCTCCTACAGCCAAATCACTGCTCGCAGCACAACCATCCCTATCAATCTTCTCCACCAAGACATATAACTCCTTCTTTTTCTCCTGAAAGAACAGCAATACGGTTAAAAGAGTTTTCTATCTGCGTCTAACAGACCACGACAAACCTATCGATGAGAAGTTATGATTTTCACTTGCCAAACCCAAGCAGATGAGCATCGTAGACACACACACACACAAAACACAAACACACACACACTCACCAAGTTGACCAATGGGTAACAATAAATTTAATGTTCAACCGCTGGTGATGGAAGCGTGTGATCCGTCATAACCCATAAGCCCTGACAACAACTCGTACACAAATCATATGTGAGGTGACTGGTCGTTGTTTTGTTTACCTAATCTGTAACAAAGTAACAATGGACATTAATTTGAACTTGCGACAGAAGCAGAAGCATCGCTCATTATCCAAGTGGTTTGCGACCCAGAGTTTGTTTAACCATGGCACTCAGTCTTCATCGTCTTACATTTGTTTATTTTACCCATGCACAAAATCGGCAACAACAGATAAAAAAACTAACCAAACCCCCCCCCCCCCCCCCAAAGCAAGCAAAACAAAAACAAAAACAAGAAAAACAACAAAAAAAAACAACAAAACAAAACTTCTTACATCCCACGCCTCCACACGCACCACCACCACCCCGTTTAAAAAAAACCAAAACTTTTGAATTCGCCTTACAGCAGTCATAGGCCTGAGATCAGCCCCCAGTTTGGACCTCAGAAGGGAATAGTTTGCTTTCTTCATTTGATTAGTCCTGCCCAAGATGGCCACCTGTTATAAGGCCACTTTTCTCCTTGACAGTGGGTGGCGGTTTTACACAGGTTCGACTGTGTATATATATATATATATATATACATCTTTTGCATGCATACAAAGAGCTTAACCGTTTCATGGCTGAGACTGATGAACCTGACTCTCAACACTTTCAGTAGGTAGGAAAGCTGTCCTACCAAAGGGTTCTACACTTACATGATATCTGCGTTTTCTATCAAAACCAAACGATGCTGCATTCCCCTTTTCCAGTTCAATGGCAATAGTTTTGTCTTCCCAGATCACGTACTGGGGAAACTTGAGTACACAGTAATGCCACAAACAGGATTCCGAGTCACACAGCCGGTTCGCACACACTGCGACGGGGAAGCCACTGGACGCAGGAGCATGAGAGAGTGGAGGTAGGCCTGGTCTTGTATTGGTAGGAGATCTGGGGGGAAACATGGGGCTCTCTGAATAGTTTTGTCTCTCGTTGGTGGGAAGTGGAGGGGTCCTGTCACCAGTGGGGTTACCATGGGTCAACGGTGTCATGCTCCCATCTTCTCTCATCGTGACTTCGATGTCTGTCACAGACATACCGGGGTAGGGGTCGCATGGAGCACTCCTGGAATGGGGTTCAGATGGGTTGCTGTAGTTGTAGGATTTCTTGCCATGTCCTGATGGAGGTTTCCTGTCATTTCTCCCACTATTAGACCCTCTGATGTGGTGAAGCTCCGAATCTGGTATGTGACCAAAGCCATTCTGCCATGGAGCACTAGGTTCAGCTGGCGGAATTTTGACCTTGGGAATGCTGCCGTTCATCAGCTGGTCCTGTGAGCCAATGGAGACACATCCGCTACCTGTAGACACGATGGAATGAAGCCTGCGGAACTCAAGTCCAGTCTTCTTGCCATTTGGTGGGGAATCCTGATAGCCTGAAAAACCTGCCACAAAAGGAGAGAGACAGCAGTTAAGTCAGAAGTTGTATCTTCTATTAGAAGAGAAGCACAATGATACTATTGATACCATAGATGGACAAGTGGGATCAACCAGCAGCACTCTCTAACCACCCACAATGTAAATGAAATGGCCTCATTATAAGTCAGTGATAATTCATACATCAACCACTATAACAAAATCAGTTTCTTTAGCCAACAACAGTTCCCGATAAGTTTTCAAGAAAATGAAAATGAAAAGGGTACACATACACACCCATGATGATGCTCGCAGCGCTTTAAAAAAAAAAAAGACCGAAAGAGACAGCTAAGATAGTAACAGACACAACCAAACAGTTGGACTGAGGTCTAATCTCCTGGAGACAACAACAAATGACTTGTACTTCACAAGCATCGGAGCAAAAAGATAGGGATTTTCCGTAAAATATTTCCCATGTGTAGAGACCAAACTATGTGGTGTCCGTAGTCTAGTGGTTAGGCTAGCGGACTCGTAATCATGAGGTTGCGAGTTCCGAGTTCGAGCCTCAGGCCCCATATTGTGTCCTTAGGAAAGGCACTTTACACTAATTTTCCTCACTTCACCTAGGTATGAATGGGTACCCAGCCAAAGACAGTGAAAGATCTTGCCAGTATGTTAGTGTTTTAGCGCCTATAATTTGTAGCTTGCACTGTATGCTTCCCAGGAAGTTGAGATTGCTTCAGAATGCTATCAGTTCTGCGGGGTAATAGATTGTAAATCACTGAGAGCTTGCTGTTGAATGGTAGTGAGTAAATTAAGTTCTAAAGTTTAGTAAAAGAGCTGTTGTAAGGAGAGCTCTACACAGACATTATTGTACAGCAAGTCAGTTCTGAAACCTCACCAGTCAGATTCTGACGGGAACAGATGAGGATTATTTATAATCTGTTAAACCATATAACTTTTATGCTTGTTGCAATTTTTTTAGGGTCTACCCTTATCTTTCTTCCACTAAAAAGAGTTTGTCTTCAGAACAACAGGTCACACATTGGAACCATTTTGAGTACATTTAGGCTTAGTAAGAATTTTACAGCATTTACAACACAAATAGGTCAAAAGCTAGAGGTGTTACACATGGGAATAACAAAGAAAAGAAGGAGGGGAGATAAGGATGATAGATTATAGGAAAGGAGGGGCCATAACTGACCAAAAGTTTTCTTTCCTAATGAAATACGCTTTCAAATGCAACCAGAACTGAAATCAAGAGACTTATCTCCCCAACTTTTGAGAAAAAATATTTTAAACAAACAAGAAAGAAGCCTTACGAGCAACGTGGAGTTTCAAATTCTCAGAATCCTGTTTCTGGAGTAATTCCTCCACTTGTTTTTTGTTGAACTTGAAGATGCACTCGTTGCGAATGTGAGTAATCCTGTCGCGCACATGAAGCTCTCCACTTCTCACATGGCATTCTTTTTTTACATTTTCCACAAGACAGGCAGTGGTTCCTACAGGTAGCTACGGAAGACACAACAAATCCTTATCATACTATGCCCCCAAAAAACCCCAAAACTAATCCAGAATCAACACATCTAGGGGGAAAAAATTTAGCTTATCTACAAACAATAGTTGTATCTAAAAAAAAAAAACTTCAGACCTACTTATTATTAATGGACCATGGTTTTTTTATCTTCAAAACTAGATTTTAAAAAACCCACAAACTTGCTGATTTCAAAATGAACCCTTTCAAAAATAATTCTTTGTTTTGTTGTTAAAAGAACATAAAGGAAAGTAAAATGATGCTGTCACATAGTGAAAGGGCCAAAATTGGGTAAAACATGGTGAAAATTGACTAAGTGGCTATGGGGTGGACTAAATAGCCTTCGTCCAGTAATTATTGCACTACCTCAATAGTGGATACTGAAAATCCAAGTTTCCCATTTTGTCCTCGACGAACGATAACTATTTCCTCCTGCTCCCAGCGCACAGATTGAGGCCTGAGCCGCAAACGTTCAACCAACTGCTTCAGCGATTCTTTCGTGGAGCCCATTTATCCCTTGGTCACAAAATCACACCTGAAGAAGAAGAATAAAAAAGTTACTTATTTTTAAACAAAAATTACAGAAGTGACATGTTCAAAGAGACCACTGACATTTCACACAATTTCTTTGATGCATTTGGAATGAAAACTAGAAGGTATTGTTTTGTGATCAGGTAGGCCCTGTAGAACGTATAAATATGGAAAAGGCTCACATAGACTTAGGAGTTAAAATTTTGGTATAAATTCATACGTTTATCGAATAAGATGCACCAACTTATTCATGGCAAGTACCATATGTTTCACCCCTGCAGGTGGGGGTCCCCATAGTTTTACTATGGGGGGGTAAAGAATACACCTGCCATGATACTGCGTGTCGTAAGAGGCAACTAAAGGTGCATAGGTCTGGCCACCTGAAAAGTGCCAGTCTGCGGAGGGCCAACTACCCGACCCAGTAAAAAAGGAAAGTTATAGAAACACAAACAAACACGCCTTATATTTTTTCCATCTTGGGAGACGGAGGAGCTTCTGCATCAGCAGGAACAATGAAGGACAGCGGACAAAGCCGAAAGGAGCTTCTGACCCGAAACCTTCTCTGTCGAACAAGTCTCTCCGGATTGCATTGTGGAATGTTCGCACCATGTAGAAGCAGGAAAGAGTTCTCAAGTGACACAAGAGATGAAAAGATACAGGCTGCACATACTAGGAGTCAGCGAAACCCACTGGATACAGTCTGGACCGAGGCAGCTCAGCTTGGGGGAACAAATATTATATTCTGGGAGGGAAGACAAGCACCATGCGGAGGGAGTTGGAATTATTTTGAGTAAGTATGCACAGAAGTCACTTAGAGGATGGGAACCATAGGGGGAGAGGATCATCATGGCTTCTTTCACTACCAGAAGTAAGAGCATCAACATGAACATAGTACAGATCTACGCCCCAACAAACGATGCTTCGGATGAAGACAAGGATGCCTTTTACAGCCAGCTCCAGGGGGTCATCGACAAACTACCAAGGAAAGATGTCAACATCATAATGGGAGATGCTAATGCCAAGATTGGTCAGGACAACGTAGGTTACAAGGGAATCATGGGACAACATGGCCTGGGACAAATGAATGAGAACGGTGAGAGATTTGCGAATATCTGTGCTTTCAACAGTCTTGTCATCGGAGGCTCTGTTTTTCCCCATAAGAGGATCCACAAGGCTACTTGGGTATCACCGGATGGGGTAACAGAGAACCAGATCGATCATTTTTTTATCTCTCGTAGGCTCAGGCATTCACTAGAAGATGTCAAAGTACAGAGACGGGCAGACGTTGGATCGGATCATCATCTGCTGTTAGCAAAACTCAAGCTTCGTCTCAAAAAGCAAGGAACCAGAACAGGAACCAAGAGAATGAAGTTCCAAGTAAGTCTTTTAGATGAACACAAGAAACAGGAGTTTCAACTGCAGTTGAGGAACAGATTTCAACCCATGGCGGACCTTGGGGAGGAGGGCAAGGAGGGGGAGATGCACTGGACCAAGGTCAAAGAAGTCTTTACTTCAACATGTCAAGAAATACTCGGTGAGAAAAAATTGGAGCACAAGGAATGGAATAGCCAACGGTCATTGGATTTGATTAGCATTAGAAGACAATTGAAAGCAGAGACAAATGCAAGTAGAACAAGGGGATCAAAAGCGGACGCATTGGAGCAGTACAGGACAATAGGTAAAGATATAAAGAGATCACTGAGAAAAGACAAGGAGGAATTTATGAACAGGCTTGCAGAGAGGGCAGAAGAAGGAGGGAACATGTGAATCCTTTACCAGACTACAAAGACTCTTTCGGGAAAATATGGGAAACCAGAAGTAACAGTAAAGGACCAAGAGGGGAAAACCATTTTTGGAAAGGAAGCTCAGTCGAGATGATGGGTAGAGCATTTCAACAGTCTCCTGAACAGACCACCACCAAGTAACCCGCCAAACATCCTGCCAGTAAGAAATGAGCTACCAATCTGCTGTGATGCCCCATCAAAACAAGAGATTACGGAGGCCATTAAGAAGCTGAACAACGGTAAAGCGGCCGGTCCTGATCAGATTCCACCTGAGGCCCAGAAAACAGATGCCAATTTGACAGCAGACCTCCTTCTCCCATTGTTTACCTGGATCTGGAATGAGAGCAAGCTCCCAATGAACTGGAAAGAAGGGCACCTTGTGAAACTATTTAAAAAGCGGATCTCAGCAACTGCAGCAACTACCGAGGAATCACTCTTCTCTCAATACCAGGAAAGGTCTTCAACAGAATAATTCTGGAGAGAATCAAGTCCGCAACGGATCCAAGACTTCGAGACGAACAGGCTGGTTTTCGGAAAAAGCGGTCAACCACGGACCAGATTGCTACACTGAGGATCATAGAGGAACAGTCACTGGAGTGGAACTCCCAGTTGATCGTCAACTTTCTTGACTATGAGAAGGCCTTTGATAGCAGAGACCGAGCAACACTGTGGAAGGTACCGAGACATCACGGAATCTCACAGAAGTTGGTTAACCTCATCGGAAGCATGTACGAAGGGACAGGTTGCAGGGTTATACATGATGGCCAGCTCACTGACAGCTTTGACATCAAGACCGGTGTGAGACAGGGATGTTTACTATCACCTTTCCTCTTTATCTTGGCAATCAACTGGCTGATGAAGGAAACCACCAGAAGACACAGAAATGGTATACAGTGGACCCCATGGACACAGTTGGACGATCTGGACTTTGCAGATGACTTGGCGCTTGTGTCACACACTCAAGAACAGATGCAAGCAAAGACAACAATTTGAAACAGCCTATCAGAGATCCACCCCGGAAAGTCGAAAGTCCTACGGATGGATGCACTACGAAAGGAGCAGGTCACAGTACAAGGAAATGAACTAGAAGACGTCGAATCCTTCTGCTATCTTGGGAGTATATTGACAGAGAGGGAGGAACAGGCGCTGAAATAAAGTCCCGCATTGGAAAGGCACAGACTGCATTTATTTCTTTGAACACGATTTGGAGGACCAGGGATATCTCATTACGAACAAAGCTTAGAATTTTCAACTCAAATGTGAAGTCAGTCTTGTTGTATGGATGTGAGTAGCAATGACCACGAAAATCCTTTTTTTGCCAGAAAGTGTTTGCAAATAGGTGCATTTTGTAGCTTTATCTTCACAGAGCATGGAACTTTTTGAATTTTTGAAATCCATCAATAAACAAAAAAGTTACAGATTTTTTAATCAATTAATTTCTGGTACACTTTTATATAATGAAAAAAGCCCAAAATATGGGACGTTCTTTGGTGAGTTTTGAGACAATATTCGTCATAACTCGCTCATTTCTCGGAGTATCTAAAAGAAACTTGGCAACCCAGTACATTTTCTAGCGCAGAATCTAGTCCTGCTTTCAGATTTTTCATAGCTATCCTATTTTTTGAGTTATGAAGACGTTTATAGGTAAAAATGTGGCGGTTTTTGGTGCGTTTTGATACAATATTGTCATATCTCGCCTATTTCTTGGAATATGTAAATGAAAATTGGCAGTCTAGTACATTTTTGAATGCAGAATCTAGTCATGCTGTCAGATTTTTAATATCTGTCATACTTTTCGAGTTGTAAAGACATTAACAGGTAAAAAAGTGGCGTTCTTTACAGATTTACAAAGATTATCAGTCATATATGTTCTCCCAAAGTCATGATATTTGAATGAAACTTGGCAACATAAAAGGTTCCTCCTTGCCAAGCAATGTTCTGGATGAATTTGTCACAAAAATGTAAGTAGAGAGAGCTACTAATAAATCCAGTTCTGTACTAGTAAAAGCATGCATACTTTGTTATAGAAAATAAGATCGTCTCTGTGTATATCCATTGTTGGACCGTGTCCTATTGTGTGTTAGATTTAGATGCGTTCAGATAATATAGTTTACAAGTCATGGGAATATTTCGCATGTGTAGGCTACAACTCATACAATAAATGAAACATATTTTTTACACCCCCCCCCCTTCTCTCTCTCTCTCTCTCTCTCTCTCACGCGCGCACACACACACACATGCACGCGCGCGCACTCACGCACGCACGCGTGAACGATAACAATGTATAAACAGGACTATCTTCCCAGACTGGACTAAATAAGTACCATACTCTTTAATAACAATCTTAATGCCTCACTTTTCCAAACAGAGCACACAGGACGAGTCCAAGTGTGTGCTTTCCCAAGAGGGGGGAATAGGCTTTCATAACGCAAACACAATGCCATACCACTTCTCAAGATGTTTGCTTTTCTGTTTCTATTCTTCTGTCATGCAATCAAGCAAATAAAAATGACTACATCTATAGTATTGTGACTAAAATGCAACAAAAACGCAAGTTATCAAGGCTTCCTTTTAGTTTTCAAGTATCCTCCCCCCCCTTTCCGGTTCACATAAGCGGGGCCTCGTTTGTAGTGCCCGAGGCGACTGATGGCTGATGACGTCACTCAGTGGAAATTTCCCAGCAGCAGGACGTTCACCCAGTACGCGCAAATGGCAATGTCGCTTTTTCCCTTAGTTACTCCCACATTTTAAAAGATTACGCGAAAACCGCTAAACACAGAAGCTTGAAATTTTAAGGGAATAAAGAAAAATGGTGTACAACGTATCAGTCAGTTTGACAAATCACAGCTCCGAAAAATCTTCAAAGCGCACCACATCAACCACTTTCGCAAACGTTTTCGACTGCTTCTAGGATGGGTACAATGTTGTCAAACTGCATACTATGAGATTGACCTCTTTTCTGATTGGCTACCAAGTTTCATTAATATCCATTCACGAGAAGCGGCGTGAGAGCGAGTTGAAGACAACAACCTTTGCGTTAGTGCGTCCCACGAAACACCCCCGCCGCGGGGGCCAAAAATCGGCAGAACAAAACGCGCTCGGTGGGCATTGCTAATGTGAGACGTGAAACGCATCCCAGACGTGTATAAAGAGGATCCAGGTTTTCTTAAACAAGTGTCTGAGGAAGCTACTGAGGATCAAATAGACAGGATCACCAACGAGGAAGTATGAAGAAGAACAAGACAGATCCCAGACAGAGATGAGGTGGGAAGAAGACGTTGGCGATGTATTGGACACACTTTCAGGAAGGCAAGCAGCTGCATAACAAGGAAAGTGTTAGATTGGAACTCACAGGGTAAAAGATCAAGGGGAAGACCACATGGAACCTGGAAAAAAGTCACGGAAATGGATGTACAGAAAAGTGGGAAGACGTGGAGTGACATCAAGCGGCTAGCCCAGATTAGGGAAAGGTGGAAAGAGTTTGTTTGTACGTGGCCTATATCCTGATCCAGGGTGAGAAAGGCAAAGATGATGATGACCATCTTTTTGCCAGAGGATTTTTCATTAACCCTATCCATACGCCCTGGGGTCATTTTGTACCCCCAGGGTTGTATCTTCCCATTTTAGAATACTTCTAGTACAAAGATCTCTTTGAAAGTTTCAGTAAAAAAAAATTTATCAAAAAAGCATTTTGACAGACTGCTATATATACAAATAACATGAGCGGACAATCGTGTTTACATATCAATGTATCAACAGTGGGGGGTTTCAGGGGGCCCTGGCAACAATAATTTAAAAACTCACACACACACACACACATAAATGCTAAACAATAACATGAGCGGACCATGGAGCTAAGTGGACAATCGGGGAAATTAGAGAGTTGGAATAGGCCGAGCCTTGCTTTGCATGGCAGCACTCGCCAAGTCGCGAGAAGGGCCGAGGGGGTTGCAATTATGCAAATTATGTGCTCTCGTGCGCATCTCTCGCCCTCCATTGTACTTTGCCGGGCCAGGAGTAGGCCTCGGCCAAGGCTAGCCTAGCAGAGTCGTGAGCAAAAAAATAGTGGACCACGTGATTAGATCAACCAATTAGCCTCAATGTGTCAGGGTTGTGGGTCAAAGGGCACGGCGGCACGGTCGTGATGACTGAAAAACCCGGTAAGAGACGACAGTCGGTAGTTGGCAGTCGAAGGTTGAGGACGTAGTAGAGTGAGTAGGGGAGTTCGGAAAGGAAGAATAGCGGACCACTAGACAACAGGGGCGTGCCATAGTGAAAGTAGTTCCGACCGGCGGTTACCGGCGGTCCGGTAAAGTACAATCTTACCAAGTTAAAGTACATGTAACTGTTTTTGAAAAGATTTAAAAAATTTTAAGAAAGGGAGGAATGTTGTAGAGTAATCATTATGTAACATTATAAGTAGGCCTTAGACCCACTTTCAGTATTCCATAACAAGTACTGTAAGAAAGTGGCTATTCTCTTTACAGTAGGCCACCTCCATTCTCACCCCGGGTGAGAATAGCGCAGGCGAGTCTTTTGGCTATTCTCACCCGGTGTCCGTTCACTGTTATTTATAGCCTAGATCTAGGCCAACCAATTTTGCGTTCACCCTAAACCACAGAATTCTACACTGTGATTATAACACAAAAATTGTAGAATTCTGTGCCGTGAACAAACGTTCCATTACTACTGTTAGCCTACTAAAAGCGTACAACTTTGTCTGTGGGCAGTGGAGAGAGAGAGAGAGAGAGAGAGAGAGAGAGAGAGAGAGAGAGAGAGAGAGAGAGAGAGAGAGAGAGAGAGAGAGAGGAGTAGCGCAAGAACTTCCGGGCAAAACAAAATGGCGATCCGCGTAGTTCGGCTCGATTCGAAAAGTTAAATAGCCGCAGCATCTTTGTAGACGACCAAATTAATTTACTTTTGTGTTTTAACATCATTTTTTAAACTTTGTTTTGGTCAATTTGATCGTCCACACCGATAGACAGTATTCAGAAAAAGACAGAGAGAGAGAAATGAGAGGAGTAGATCTTGCGAGAACTTCCGGGCAAAACAAAATGGCGACCCCCGTAGTTCGGCTCGATTCGAAAAGTGAAATAGCCATAGTATAGCATCTTTGTAGACGATCAAATTAGCTTACTTTTGTGCTATAACGTAATCTTTTCTTTGCCTTTATCCATTTGATCATCCACATCGATAGAAAGTATTCCGAAAGGCCACCTCTATTCTCACCCGGAGTGAGAATAGTGCAGGCGAGTCTTGTGGCTATTCTCACCCGGTGCGCGTTCACCAAATTTTGCGTTCACCCTAAACCACAGAATTCTACACTGTGATCACAGAAAAATTGTAGAATTCTGTGCCGTGAACAAACGTTCCATTACAACTGTAGCCTACTAAAAGCGTACAATTTTGTCTGTGGGCAGTGGAGAGAGAGAGAGAGAAAGAGAGAGAGGAGTAGCGCGAGAATTTCCGGGCAAAACAAAATGGCGACCCGCGTAGTTCGGCTCGATTCGAAAAGTTAAATAGCCGTAGCATCTTTGTAGACAACCAAATTAATTTACTTTTGTGTTCTAACATCATTTTTTAACTTTGTTTTGGTCAATTTGATCGTCCACACCGATAAACAGTATTCAGAAAGAGACAGAGAGAGAGAGAAGAGGGGAGGAGTTGATCTTGCGAGAACTTCCGGGCGGGTGAGAATAGCCACTTTCATTCCGAAATTAGGAAAAACAGGTCTTGTTTCACACCGGGTGAGAATAGCCTACGGTGGCAAGTCTCACCCGGGGTGAGAGGTCGATCGTATTTCTATTCTCACCCCGGGTTAGAATAGCCACTTTCTTCTAAGACTGTTCGCAAGTAGAATACACACAACACTTGAGACGGATCTAGAATCTATATGAGTATGAGTAAAATAATACCAAGAAATCAAATGAGGTAGATTCTAGATCTAGAATCTATCTAGATCTAGATATCTAGATTTCTAGATCTAAAAACCTAGATCTAGATCTAGATCTAGATCTAGATCTAAATCTAGATCTAGATTTAATCTAGTAACGGGTATTGCTTAGTTGTAAAAATAGGCCTAGATCTAGATCTAGATTATAGATCTAGATCTATATCTAGATCTAGATCTCTAAATCTAATTATAAATCTGATCTAAGGCAGACTGCTAGAGATCTAATATAATAAATAATAAACTAAAATTTACCTCGTCTTTGAAACCTGGGAGGACAATTTGACTGCAAGGCCTACTTGAGTCCAGATCTAGACCCAAGATTACATAGCCTACTTTCTTTTTCATTGGCCTCGTAAAGTTCAGTTTAGACAAAGCGCAGATCTAAATATCTAGATTCTTGAGGTTTATTAGATCTCTAGTAGAGGTGTTTGGTATTTGGTACCCAGGTAGTGTTTACCGTTTTCGGCTCCCTTGACCGGAAAAAGATATTTTTCACGGTCGGCGAGTCAAATGTCATACCAATAATTTTTCAAGTATAAATATTAATACAAATTATGTAAAATGTTGTTGCTCTACGTCAGATATGTCCCTAATTTTGTATCATATTCTGTAAATGTTCTACCGTAGATATGGGAATGGAAATTTTTAAAATAAAATTGAACTGGAATTATCCATTTGTCGCCCAATCTGGTATATATTGAGAATCGGGACGTTAAAAGTAATAACTTCCGGAATCAGGCAGTAGGCAGCCCAGTTTCATTTCTCTCACAGTTCATCACAAATCACAATTCAGTGAATTGGGAAAAGCTCAAATCAGCAACAGTTAGATCAAGATCTAGTTTTGGATTGACTGAGTTCAGGTTAAAGGTACCAGGTTAATTTTTTTAAATAGTGTAGATGGTTTTTACGTCCTTATTGACACAGTAGATCATCTAAATCTAAAAAAAGGCAGGGTTCGACCCTGCCTGTCACTGTCAGGATCCACCGGGGTTGTCTCGCTCAATGACTCCAATCCAATGTCATGGATAGACCTACATGCATTAGACTAATGAATTAGAGTGATCGTACCGGTTCGGGCAGCACTTTTTTTTTTAGCTGTCGGGCACTGGAGTACATAAAGATCATTTAAAACTTTTTAAAAAATATCTAGAGTAGATCCTGGGGTGCGATATACCATAGGCCACCTCTATTCTCACCTGGAGTGAGAATAGTGCAGGCGAGTCTTGTGGCTATTCTCACCCGGTGCGCGTTCACCCTAAACCACAGAATTCTACACTGTGATAACAGAAAAATTGTAGAATTCTGTGCCGTGAACAAACGTTCCATTACAACTGTAGCCTACTAACAGCATACAATTTTGTCTGTGGGCAGTGGAGAGAGAGAGAGAAAGAGAGAGAGGAGTAGGCGTAGCGCGAGAATTTCCGGGCAAAACAAAATGGCGACCCGCGTAGTTCGGCTCGATTCGAAAAGTTAAATAGCTGTAGCATCTTTGTAGACAACCAAATTAATTTACTTTTGTGTTTTAACATCATTTTTTAACTTTGTTTTGGTCAATTTGATCGTCCACACCGATAGACAGTATTCAGAAAGAGACAGAGAGAAGAGGGGAGGAGTTGATCTTGCGAGAACTTCCGGGCGGGTGAGAATAGCCACTTTCTATACCATAAGCGATCTTTTGTTGATATCTCCGGAAGTTACTGGTGGATCTTCATGATTTTTTCACCAGAAGAGTTAAAAAGACCTCCTCACTCTATACGGTGTAGCTCTATCATACAAAACCCAGCAGTTTAAAATTCCTATGTTGTGGTGGTGTTTGTTTGGTACCGTGTGTCTGGTTTGGTGTGCAAGGTTTCTGTTTGGGTGCAACATATCGTCTGGTTGAGTGCGTAATAGTACCATGTTTACGGTTTGGTGGATTAACAAAGAAGAAATATGGACCAATTCAGACTAGTTTTCACCTTTGTGAATACATTTTGTAATAATATAGGACAAATGTCATAAAACAATATTATAATTAATGCTAAATCAAAGCCACACACACACAAACACATCTATCATATTAGGCAGTGACATACACAACATAGAGTCAACTCACATAAAGACAGCTGGCTTCCTGTTTACATGAAATAAAAAGTATCCATTGTCTCAGTTTCCACCAACTCCACCAACACAGTTTTTACAATAAAAGTCTTCATTCATAGTAGCATCGGATGGCAAGCCAGAGCAGGTAAAGTGAAACCAGGCATCACACAGGTCACACTGAATCCATCTGCTGTCACCTTCCTCCTTGTTGCACTGCTTGCATCTGCTCTCCTCAACACCAAGTTCCACATCATCATCACTTTCCAAAACCATGCCTTCTTCTTCTTCTTCACTGCTACTTTCCCTTCCTCTCTTTTTATTACTATTTAGCAGTCGCTCCAACTGCTTCCTCTCCTGTGTTTCCTTTTTCTCTTGTTTCTTTCTCTCTCGCTCAACTCTAGCTTTTTCCTGACGCTCCTTCTTCTCTTGCTCTTTCCTTGCTTTTGCTTCCTCTCGATCTTTCTTCCTTCTCTCTTTCATCTCTTTCTCCATCCTGGCCTTGTCTTCCTTTCCTTGTAAGAAGTTCCTGTACTGATCTGAACTGAAGGCCATGGTCAATGAGGAGTTCTTTTTGGAAGCTGTGCCCCTCTTGTTCTTTGGGAGTTGGGGTGGGGCAAACAGGTCATCCAAGCTTTTGCGTCTGGAGGGAACAGATGAGGCTGGGATGCCCTGGTCTTGAACCTCGAGTACACCTGCTGCCACCAGTGTCCTCTGAAATTCTTGAAATTCTTTGTCCTCTGACGTCTTTCTTTCCTTCAGCATATCCAGGTAACTTTCACATCTGATGATGCCTAACATGGAGGACAGGCGCAGAAGGGAACTGACGGCATCGAGCTTGGTTGTAGCCACCTGAGGGAGGGCAGTATCTGCAGAGGTGATTTGGGATGTGGACTGTGCTAGTGGTAGAGGAGTGGCTTGGGTAGCTGGTTGTGGTTGGAGAGTAGGTACTGGAGATGGAGTCGCTGGTGCTAGAGATGGAAGAGCAGCAGGAGATGTCGGTGATGCTGCTGGTGGTGGTGGAGTCGCTGCTGGTGGTGGTGGAGTCGCTGCTGGTGGAGGTGGAGTCGCTGCTGGTGGAGGTGGAGTCGCTGCTGGTGGTGGTGGAGTCGCTGCTGGTGGAGGTGGAGTCGCTGCTGGTGGAGGTGGAGTCGCTGCTGGTGGTGGTGGAGTCGCTGCTGGTGGAGGTGGAGAGGCCCGTGGCATTAGTGAAAAGTATTTGTGCAGTCCTGAAGTGGATGCTGATGACAATGAAGGGGTTGTTGATGGTGGAGGCAAGGCTCTTGGTGGTGTTTGAGTTTGTTGAGGGATATCAGGAGTTGCTGAGGTACCTTCAGGGCTGGAGAAGAAACTCCTACTGGCCTCCATTTTGCCACTTGTCAGAGGGCTCTCTGGGTTAAAAGGAAAGATGCCTGAACGTCTGAAACCTTTCAGGCTGGCTTCTGGCGTGGCACAATGCTCCCACACTTTTTTCAACAGGTGCGAAAAATTGGCCGCTGATGGCGTCTCCCCTGTCTCCTCCAGGTGCTGCTTCACCACCACCGACCATCTTGCCTTCATGGAACCGAATACCGATAGGTCTAGAGGCTGAATTATGTGAGAGGCATGAGGAAGAAGGCCATAGAGTATGATGCCATGTTCCTCACACATCTTGAGCGTGCCAATGTCACTGTTGTGACTTGTGTGTCCATCGACGAAAAGGACGACTGGCTTTGGCTTTTCCGCGATGAATGGTGTAAATACATCCTTTATGAAGGTGTGGAAGATGGTAACGTTCACCCATCCATTGCTTGATAGCTGCATGAACGCGTCCTTGAAGCCAGCAAGGAAGTTGGCTGAGGGCATTCTTTTCCTCGGAAAAACCAGCAGGGGATTCACGTATTCCCCAGCAGCTGATGCACATGCCAACACTGTTATCTGATTCTTCGTGTTATTGCAGATGTTATACACATGCTTCATGCCCACCGGGGCCAGGACTCGCTTGGAGACAGGTGCGAACGCGAAACCAGTCTCATCTGCGTTGAAGATTCTATCTGGGCTTTTGAGGAGGGCTGGGTCTCGAGAGTCGAGATATTTCTTCATTTCGGAGAACCAGTCCCTAATGTCCTTCTCCTGCACTAGGGCTCGCTCCTTGCCAAGAGCTTGAGGGGATCGGAGGCTAAGTCCTGGGTGACGTTTTTTGAAGTTGGTCACCCAGTCCCTACCAGGAAGGCCATCTTCTCTCCTTACTGACGCTCCTCGCAGGTCTAATATTTCCTTCACCTTTTGCCGCACGTCTTCGTGGGTGCGCCCCATTGACCGTTGGGCATGGACTTTGATCCACATGACCAATCTCTCCTCCTCCTCGTCAGTGAGCAGCTTATGAACTTGAGGCTTGACGGCCCTTCTCCCCCGCACCTTGTCACCCAAAGTGGAGAGGGGAATTTTAAACGTTTTTGAAGCACCATATAGTGTCATACTCTTGGACCGGACCAGCTTCACTGCTTCCTCCATTATTTCTTGAGAGTAATTTTTATTTGGTTGGGCCATATTCAGTGGTTTATGAGAGATTTCCTTACACTGTGTTGTTTTGATAATTGATAAGAAAGAAAAGGTGCTGTGGACACAAGAAGGGGAAAGAAGAAAACAAGAATTAGACTAGACCAAGAATAGTATTCTTAAAGGAAAAGAACAAAAAAGATAAAGAAGAAGACGTGAAAAGAAGAAATTGGTCATTTTGGGGATTAAATGACAACCATGTCCATATCCCATTTCCATATATATTGATTAATTTTGACATTGATACATTCTGATCATCTTCCATTGGCAATATAAAGCATCCAAAAGGAAAGAAAACAGTCTGTTTCAGTGCGCAACGCAGGTCCTAAAGAAATAAGTGAAACAACTAAGGCTACAAGAAGCCACACTGTCAATGCCAAATGTCAAAAGCCGATATTGCGCACCAAAACGGACGGGGCAAATTTGGTCCGCTTCAGTGCGCAACCCCATCGGGCATGTTCCAGGCATTCAGAAGCAGCCTGCGATCATTTGGGCTCGATTTTAGTGTACATTCTACGATACATAAGAGCTAGATTAACCAGAAGAGCTAAATAATCGACCACTCAAGCGCTTAGTAATTCACCGACTCCGATTACGAAAACAATCAATGAAGGGGCAAAACTTACTGACACCGTAAAATTACGTGTGTAGACTGGAACCTCCAAAACGAAAGTGCAATTTAGTTGTTACTGCGCATGCTCACATAAAGTAACCTCGTTTTCGCTGTTCTTATCCAAAACAAAGCAGGAGACCGGGGGTTGCGCACCCAACAAGGTGCGCGGTGATGCGGTTTGACTCTAGCCCCAAAGAAAGTGGCTATTCTCACCCTCCCGGAAGTTCTCGCAAGATCAACTCCTCCCCTCTTCTCTCTCTCTCTCTGTCTCTTTCTGAATACTGTCTATCGGTGTGGACGATCAAATTGACCAAAACAAAGTTAAAAAATGATGTTAAAACACAAAAGTAAATTAATTTGGTTGTCTACAAAGATGCTACGGCTATTTAACTTTTCGAATCGAGCCGAACTACGCGGGTCGCCATTTTGTTTTGCCCGGAAATTCTCACGCTACTCCTCTCTCTCTTTCTCTCTCTCTTTCTCTCTCTCTCTCCACTGCCCACAGACAAAATTGTACGCTTTTAGTAGACTACAGTTGTAATGGAACGTTTGTTCACGGCACAGAATTCTACAATTTTTCTGTTATCACAGTGTAGAATTCTGTGGTTTAGGGTGAACGCAAAATTTGGTGAACGCGCACCGGGTGAGAATAGCCACAAGACTCGCCTGCACTATTCTCACTCCGGGTGAGAATAGAGGTGGCCAGCCCCAAAAGAGTGGCACACAAACCTAAAGTTAAAGCAACCTCCCTTACTTTCGTTGAGGGGGCTCTCGTGGCCTAGAGGTTAAGGTGTTGGCCTCTCATTCAAAGGTCCCGGGTTCGAATCCGGGTAGCAACCAAAAAATTTTCTTCTCTAAAATTGTCTAATTTCACCTCCTTTCCTGCTCTCTAGCATGAGCAATGTTCTGTTGTCTGCTTTCATTTCCACTTTCTGCCCCCATCCCCTCACCTCCTTTGCCCCCTCCTCTGGGCTCCTGACTCTTTCTGCAGCCTTTCTACTGCTACTCCTTGCCCCCCCCCCCCCCCGCCCCTTACCGCTGTCTTTCTGCCACACCCCTGATCTTCTGGTAGGAAAGATCTACACCTAGTCTTCTCGGACAAGGGCGAAAAATCTCGGAGGGCCCGTGTGCAAGTTGCGCACGTTAAAGATCCCTTGGTGGTCTAAAATCGATAAGAGTAGGCTTCAGCCGCCCCCCGGGCAAAATTCAAAATTTCCTACCAACTGAAAATATTAGGTGTGTCCTGCGCGTTCATATGACCTTTGCAGTTGCGAGCGCCGTAAAACACTTTACAAAAACAAAAAAAAAAAACTTTCGTTGAAACAACAGTTTACGGCGATATTTTGCTTAAAATAGTCCTTAAGACAGCTTTTTCTTCATCAACTGAGCAAAACAGCATGAAGCTCTTTCCCCGGAAGAGTTAACGGTATTTTTTTTACTTTCCCTCCCGTCTCACACTCAGCTACCAGTTGTTTATTTTCTACAAAATATTGATGCGCTGAACACGAATATCAACTTCATTTCCGTCGCAAATTAATAGTTTTAGAAATATTTGATTGTTTTTAACCGAGATAGACTTGCTTTGAACCCATCGGGGGGTTCCAGGGGGGCCTGCCCCACTGGGGTAAAAGAAAATCTGGGGGGTATGCCCCCCTGTTTTTACCCATAATTTGATATTTTACAGTTAGATTTGAAAATGTCTTGAAAATAATTGATTTGCGACAGTTTTAGTGGCTTTATGTGTGATCTGCAGCAAACAGTACAGCAGTTTGACCCCTGAAACAGTGCATCTGTGTACGGGAGTGAAAGTAAAAATTTACCGCGTTAACATTGGTTGTGGATGAAGGAGCCTGTGGCCTAGATTCTACGTTTTGGTAAGGCCGTCTTTATTCGGACTCGAGTCCGAATAACATTTTTTCATATTCGGACTCGAGTCCGAATTTTAAAAATTCTTATTCGGACCCGAGTCCGAATATGAGAAAATGTTATTCGGACTCGGGTCCAGAAAGAAGGAAGTGTCTTCGTTCTATAGATCTAACGTTCAGTGCTTCCAATTTTCCGCCATTTTTTAGTTTCCCCCACACCTTTTCTGCCGATCCGATGTCCGCTGCCTCATTGATACTCCCCCACCCCCCATGTTTCCCACCTACTTTGTAGAAAAAGGTAAAATTGAAGATTAGCAGACCACGTGGCACATGCATATTATGAGCTGTGTAAAAAAAAAAGACTGATTCGTTCAAATACACAAGTCTGTGCCATCTCGATTATTTACCAAGAAAAAGTTGTGTTGCTGTGTAGAGCTGAGCATACGGCAACTTTTGATTCCATAGACCAGCGCACAATTCATTACGTAGATCTACGTCAAGACTAGGTTATTGTAATAATGATCAGTTGCCGGGGGAAAAAAGACTGACGCGTATGCAACGTTCAACGGCCGGACCGATAGTGCCCCCCACCCCCCTCCCCGACACGCACACAGCCACACGTGTGCAGGCCGCCCATCCGACCCCGACACACGCTAACGAGCCATCTTTAATTGCTTCTGATGACCTCTTGACAAATAAGCATTTAGAAGCGCTATAACTTTTCAGGCCGGCCTCAAATTCATCATAAGATAAAAACTCGGCTCCTGCACAAAACACCATTTTGCCCCAAGTGATCCCGGTCTCTACCCAGCCTGAGGCGAGTCACGAGTGAGGCAGGACAGGAAACCGGAGTCACGAGTCACAGGAAGTCGGAAGTGATGTCATGCTGGACAAGAATCAGAGTCCGGATAACATTTTTTCATATTCGGACTCGAGTCCGAATAGTCACTTCGTTTTGGTAAATTCTGAATCTGAAGGCTGGAGAGTTATTTGCATATGAGGCCCTATCAAGGATGAAAGAGAATTTGCCGTTTAGTCTCGCCATTTTTGCCCAAAGGGGGGGGTGCTCGGATTGTAAGATAAAATCCGTAGTTTCTCATCCTTCGGGCACATAAGATAATATAGAGCCAATGGTTGTATAACAAAGAATAAAGAATTTGTGAATAATTTAAATAATAGTAGAGTCAGATACAGCATATTAACTCAGTCAGACACCAGTGTAATAGAGTCAGATACCAGTGTGTTATACAGTCGGATATCAGTGTAGCAGAGTCAGATACCAGTGTAGTTGAGTGAGCCAGATGCCAGTGTAGTAGAGTCAGATACCACGTAGTAGAGTGGGTCAGATACATACTCATTAAAATAACTATAAATGGTGAATACCACTTTAGACAAACTATCATTGTGTCCAAGTGTTGATAACAAACATTAAAAATCATGTTATTAAGCTTGCAAAGAAACAAATGTGATAATAATTGAAAATGACCGAATGTCAAAATACTGCCCGAATCCATGAGAAAACAAAAAAAATGTGACTGAACACGTAAATAAATCGGGCGTCACTTTTGCACCCAGTAAGGGCCTCAAATATGAGAACAAGCTGAAACAGGTCATTCCTGGGGTCATCCAATCACATGGCTTCCTGTAGCTGGTTTCGGTTTGTCTCTAGGGCAAGGCAGATAGGAGATATAAAGCTTTAAAGTCGACGTGCCTGTTTTCGTCCTAATTTTGACAGAACCGGTAATTTTACTCTACTTGGATATGGTGGTCCCGACTTTTGTGTAGGCCTACTGAAATATCGATACTGATTTAAATAGTCGGTATCAATGTTAGATCTAGAAAATCTAGATCTAGATTTAAATCTTGTGCTTACAAAACTTTTTAAAAAAGAAACGATGCGGATCAAAACGGGTGATCATTTGCACTGCGTCATTGAACTTTGTTTGAACTTTCTTTCGTATGTAGGCCTTCTCTTGGTCTTTTTCTTCTTCTCACTTTACGTAGTATACAGCATCAGAATCAATCTGGGAGGAAGAAGGGTGCTGCACAATCCGAGACAACAGAATCGAACAGTTCTGCAAGCTGCAAAGAAAATATTCCGAGTCGGCAGACTGCCGTCATGCGGTCGTGTTGCCATCATGACTGACAAAGTGAGAATCATCAATGACATCAAACAATTTAATATTATATGGCTGTTACTATGATAAATATCGGCCAATGGCGTTTAATTGTCGTTCTCTAGCTATCTGCTTGTCCTACAGACACAAAACGTCCCAGCAGCAACTCGAGAGGCAGCCTTTGCCTGCCTTAGCCTTAGCTTTATTTAGACTTAGATCTATACGGGGTGCCCATTATGGATGGGATAAGGTCGGGGACGATCGCCCCATTCATCGCCTGAAAACAAACGTGTTTGGTGTTTGTTTTTGAGGCATCGAGTCGTGCGCAATTGGCTTGTGTGCTGCTGGCTAATGACTCTGACTAGACCTGCTCCCTGCCGTCCCTGAGCACCCGTATTAGAATTAGTAGGATTAGACTTCAGTTGTTTACTTTATACTTACAGCTTTTAGTCTTAAAGGACCTATTACATGTACAAGCCGACTGGACAGGTTTCTGGGCCGTATGGCAAATCGTAACGTGTTATAAGAAATGCGACTCAAATCATAGGCGAACCTCGGGCGAAAAACCGGCCGGCCGGATGTAAAGAACCCACAGCCACTGCCTGTGAATTTGACGTCCGGCCATCTGGCTTTGAGGGGAGTGCCGACTGTCTTTGAAGTTTGCTGCGCCGGGGACAACAGAACTAATTTCAAAATTATAGAAAATCTCGTCGTAGATAAAAAAATAATACCAGATTCAGAACCAGTGAATCAAAATTAGGGTAATGGCTCGCGAATGACTTGTTTCGTTTTGTAAGGATTTTCCAGTGCAGGACTTTCCTGCACATTTTTATGTTTTGCGTGCCATTGAAGTTTCACCCAGGCTAAGCCTAATTTGTAGAATATATGTTGCTCGCGAGGTGCGGCCGCCTTCAGGTAGATTGTGGCGTGTAATTATAAACCAGTCTCCTCGATTTCGTCCGGCAGTACGGCTTGCCTACTACGGTAAAAAACCTGTCCGGTCGACCTGTACATGTAATAGGCCCTTTAGTGTAGTGTAGTCTTAATGACCTTTCTACTTCATTCTCAACAGTATTGACAGTACAGTGGAGTCTACTTATAACGAGTCCTGAAATAACAAGAAGTCTGTCATTAAAGACACTATTCTAAAACCCCATTTTTTTCTTTTCTCCTGTATCTTTGTAAATAAGATACTGCTGTAGCGCAATCAGACAAACATTCGAGTCGGTTGTAGCAGAATATTGCTGCTGCTGTGCACAGTGCATAGGCCAATTTATACATAATGTAAAACTTAGCCAGTTGAGAAACTTGTTGATGATCTAGCGAAACAAAGAATGGGAGAGCCCATGAGTGTCAACAATGAAGGCCGGAGCGACTGAGTAGGGAGGTTGTTGTGGCATGCGCAGACAAGCAGAACGTATCGCGTGATAGGCCAGCTTAGGCCTAGGCTAGATTATCTAGGTCTACCATACCTCTCACTTCTCCTATGTGATGGATGGAGCGAATGTGTGACGTGCGCAAGCAGACAAAATGCACCACAAGGTGTGGTGTGGTGGGGGACAACACAGCGGGTGAGTTAACCTTTTAAGCCCTTTCTTTCTGATGGCCAACGCCTAGCTGTCAACATTGTTAGCGCTAGAGGAAGAAACCCAATTAGATTTTTGATCTAGTAAGACCTAGAGGTCATGCAGAAACAAAATCATCATCAGGGGAGACAACAAAAAGAAAAAAGAAAACAACACCAAATTCATAGATTAGGACTACTTTATTATTTCCCTTGAATTTATTACTGGATCCCTTTTAGCGAGAATCCTGCTATAACGGACATTTTGCACTGGTCCCCTCCCTCTTGTTATAACATGATTCCACTGTATTGACGTTCACTTTTCAATCATTCACATTGTCAACAAAAATATTCTCCGTTTATGGCAATCTGTCAATCTCCGGTTTTGTAAGAGCCAAGAATGCCAAGAGTGGTACTGACTTTATTTAGGCCCTAATAATACTCAGTATTGATATTTTATCCGAAAGTACACGAGATTGGCTGTCTGCAGTTCTTTTGCTGTATATTGTAAAGCAGGAATTGATAAAAATTTTGGCCTGGCCCAGACTGGGCAAGTGGAAGAGAAGCGGAAGCGGTGCTGTCTGCTATTTTTTTTTTTTCAGTAGGCTACAGTACAAAATGAGGGAAGGAGTGCAGTAGAGGGCCGGACGACCAACTGCACCTTTATGAATCTAACACCATAAGCTACAGCGAGCACCTAGCACACCTCTGTGACTGTCCCAAATATAGATGAGGTATTTCCGCCATCTATTTTTGTCGTCTTCCAGTAGCTTCCCTTGGGCCAGTTGACTAGATCTCACCGTGGTGGGCTCGCTTTGCCGCTTAGCGCGCAATTAGCTGCGTCACTAGGTTTCATGGCCAACTGCTTGGGCTGTGTGTGTGCGCGCGCATGCTTGTGTGTGTGCGCACGTGCTTGTTTGTGTGTGTGTGTGCACTCACTTATGTGTGTGCGCTCACGTATGCGTGTGTGCACGTGTGTGTGTGTGTGTGTGTGTACAACTTTGAGGAGAAGGTAAATTTATGGAACGAGAATTGATGAGATTGTTTATAAAAGATAATACAAATTAATACCCCCCAAAAAATGCGGCGAGATCTAGATGTAAATTGATATGTTCCAAAATGACGACAAACATTTATCCAAAATATGTGTCATCGTGGTAATGTTTGAAAGATATTTGCAGTGTTCCTGCGGCCTCCTTGAATTCAAGGAGTCCTTGAAAACTGCTTGAATTTGCATTCAAGGAAAAATCTCCTTGAAAACTCCTTGAATTTGCCTTCAAGGAAACATCTCCTTGAAAACTCCTTGAATTTTGCCAGAAAAGGCCCCGGGCCTGGAATTAACCAGGAATTTGAAAAAACCCCGCCGAGATCCGGAATGCAACGGGAATTTGAAGAAATCTGTAAATTGCCCCGTGAAAGACCCGAGGAAATACTTAAAAGTTCTCGAATATTTGAAAACCAAATCCGATAACGTCCTTGAGTTCATTTTTGCCGGTCGCGATTGTGATATAATATTTATTCGGCCTTTCCCGGCCTGAGAGTACGTTACACGCGCACATGCGGTAATGGCGGCAATAAGTGGAAGTATGTGCGATACCGAAGCTCGATCTGGAAAATCAAGATCTGCTTTCGCTTTCGTTACCACCCAGAAATTTGCCGGTAGGGCCTATAGTAGTCTGACAACGCCACATTTGTAACATGCAGGCTCTACATTACAAACGCTGTGTCGCCATGAAAATAAATCGTTTGTCCTGTGCTGTCACTTGTGTGAAAAAAAAACAAAAGAAAAAGAAAGTTATACAAGCGTCTTGTCGGGCTCGCCATCGTGACCGGTCATTGAACCTGTGCGTTTTCGTCACATCGTGAGTATCGGCGATGGTTGAAGTCACCAAAGTTCATGCAAAGTTTGAGCGCTGCGAAGTATAGGACTCGAAAATGGGGGGGGGGTGTTGAAGGCAACGCCGGATTACAAAAAACCCAACTGAACTTGGAAGTTGGTACATCTCTAGATCTCTCTGCAAAGGGCGCGTTGGTGCACAGTCCTTGTGTGGAATCGGGATCCATCTTACTCCAACCGTCTAAGCCGTGTTCTTTTTACTAAAGGGTTCCGGTTTCATTGCGTAGGCGATAGTAAATTATATGCATTGTATATTTTAGCTTTCTGTTCAAGATTCGCAGATTTTCAGTGTCACTGCATCTTGCCCCCCGACAGTTCTTACACCTCTCGCTCTGAATAGGTCTACCTGAGCCATTCATGTTATTACTCTACTTTGATCTGGAGTAATAATTTTTGTCTTTCACGTTTATTATATAAACCTTGACACCCTAACTGGTTCTTAACAGTGGATATTCTGGTTCTAGGCCTTTTCTCAGGCTCAAAGCAAGATTCATTTTTATATAGTTTATATAGGCGAATATGATGAGGGGAAAATATAAATAAGTTAGAACAGACTGAAAAACCTAAGTCACAGTATCCCAGTGCCACACTGACATCATGTTGTTGACTGGATTCAATGTACCTACATGCGTGTGTGTGTATATATTATATATAATATATAAATGGAGCATGCACTGGCTCACATGCAGGTCTAACTGTCGTTGTTATGTAACATGCCCCTGGAGAATGGATGAGACACCCCCCCCCCCTTGAAAATTGAGAAGCCGGGTTTGCAGTCATCCTGGGAACAGTTTTTCTAGGAAAATTGAAACTATGAATATGATATGATTCCTTTCGGACAAGTGTGTTTTTCTTTAATAGGCTTTCGTCATGAATTTCTTGACCAAATCTCCTTGAATTTTAACAATTTCTCCTTGAAACCTCCTTGAAAACTCCTTGAATTTGATGGGAAGTTCATGGCAGGAACCCTGTATTTGGTATTTTGCATATAGTCATAGTGAAATGTGAATTAAGTGGAATTTTTTCACCATTAGCATGCATTATAAATGAGTCAAACTGAATCTCCTGAATCTTTGTTTTCCAAAATTTTCTTAAAAAATGAATTAAAATATGAAAATGGAAAGTTTTTCTTTTTTTGGGGGGGACATAATTATGATGACACAAATAAATGCGAACACAAAGACATTCCGAATGTATTTTTTCTGTGATTTTATATCCTCTTCATGCTTATATTTGAAAATAAAAGCAATGAGAAAACTCTTAAAATAATTTTTTTTATCCCTAAATTACTTTACAGGGTATTTTTCATTTCTTGTCATCATGGTTATCATGTTCAAAAGATACTTGATATTTGCCCAAATTTTCATATAAAAGAAATTAAGATACAACAATGCAAAGTTTTTCATTCCTTTCGGACATAAATATGATGATACATAAATGCAAACACAATGGCATTCAGAATTTCTTTTTTATGTGATGATCCTCACCATTTTATATGCTCTTCATGCTTATTTTTGAAAATTAAAGCAATAAGAAAACTGTTAAAATAATTGTGTCTGTTCAAATTCTAAAAAATGTGTCATCATAGTTATGTCAGAAAGAATTTGACTTGATGTTATGTAACGCCAGTTACACAGCTTAGCATGCCATGTGTAGGTCTGTAAATACAAGTTTTTGTAGGAGGTGATATACATGAATAGTAAAAATTCAAGTAAAAACGAAATATTAAAAGCTTTCTTCAACCCTGTGTGCTACATTTTAGATTCCATCTTATTGGCAAAAGTTCATATACGGAGTTATTGGTATCATCATAAAACTTGTATGTCTTGTTTCTATAAAAACAAAAAATACTCGTCTGTCCAGAATAGAAGTCGAGATTTGTGAATGAAGGAGGTGGGGGTCGCCTGGTGTCAGTGATAAAATTAACGAGAAAATGGCTGCTAAAGTTGGATTGTCCTTGAAAACTGCACATTTACAATTTTTGTGCTTTTGACTTTGATCAACTTTTTTTCCGTAAAATCTTCTCAAAAAATGTGTTTTTAAATGGGCTTAAAAAGGTATTGAGCCTTAAAAAGATTGCCCAACGGTTGGAATGGCCGCAAAATTGCCAGTTTGATTTCATTATTTTGTCAAACGCCTGATTTCACCGCAATGCCTCACATATAATTCTTTAGACTTGTTTTTCGAAAATATGCATACATGAAGCAAATTTATAGTCATATTAAGCTTAGGAAGCCCAGTTCAACCAAAAAAAATTGGAGCAGTGAGCCAGATATGACGTCGTTGTTTCTAATGATGTGGGAATGTTAATACCTTATATCCATTTTGTAGTATTTTATTTAAAAGTTTGGGGATTGCATTGCTAAGAATCAGCTGCATAGATGTTGCTAACCATTCCTTGTCTATTTTTACATAAATTTTTCTTTTATTTCTCTCTGTTCCCAGTTCCTGGAAAAAAAAACAACAATGAGTATCAACAAACTTTGCCAACGTCTTTCTGTGCTGACGATGAGCCATGTCAGGCCCCCCGCACGGACCACAGAAACTGTGAGGTAGCTTAGCTAGTGCTGAAGTCAGTTAATACCATGCAATTTCTATCTATGCAGTGTGATATTCTATTACTCTTATGTTATAATCCTTTTTGCTTAGTGTTGTACGTCACTAGCAACTACATAAATTCATACATTGAGCGCGCATGACACATTAAGTACTCTTAGTTTGGTCGGAATTAATTTTGAATTTTGGCTGGGTGGCAGCTGAAGCCTACTCTTCTTATTGATTGTAGGACCACCAAAGGAACTTTAACTTACATAACTTGCACACGGAACATCCCGAGATTTTTCCCCCCTATCCAAGAAGACCAGGTGTTAGATCTTACTTACCTTAAGATCAGGGGGTGTGGCAGAATACCAGTAGAAAGGCTGTAGAAAGAGTCAGGAGCCCAGGGGGAGGGGGGGGGGGGGGGGGGGGGGGGGGGGGGGCAGGAAGTGGAGATTAAAGCAGAGAACAGAACTTGATTGGAGAGCAGGAAAGGTGAAAGAAAATTTTCCGCCACTGTCAGGTTTCGAAGTTCGAACCTACTGAATGAGAAGCAAACATCTTAAACTCTGACCGCGAGAGCCCACCCCCCTCCCCCATGTTATCCCAACTTCGGCGTATGAAAATGATATTCACCGGAGGCTGGTTTTGTATATTAATAATTATAGTGATACGTATAGTAGTGAAAATATTTCAAGGGTAGGTCCTTGCCTCAATTGCAGTCTTAAATGAAGGGCAAGGACTGTTTTATTGATGTGGAACAAGGTGCTGTTCTATGAAAACTAGCTGTGGTATGTTTGCAAAATTGTCTGTGTGAGTGCGATAATGAATTTGTGTTGTGAAAGGATGATTTAATTTCTGAACCCAGAATTACTATATAGGCCTATTTGTCAATTTTCCCCAGTGGAATCTTTATAAAAGTCATTATTTCATTTATGATTTATATTTATTATTATCTCCCTTTCTGTCTCCCTCCTCCCTCTGTTTTTCTGATGTTGATCCGCTTATCCATTCTGTCACTATAAAGTAAAGTTTGTTCTTGCTTGGCACATGAAGTTAAACCTGCTGTAATGGCCACCTGTACAAAATAACCTGCTCTCATAACACCTCTAATCTTCGGCACTTATTACCTAATTGTGAACATTGCAAGTGCCGTAGAACTCTTGCTAAGTCTAAGAATCATTTTCACTTTATATCAATCCTGGGTTGATCTTTGTATATATCTTTATTGGAGATAATATTGAAATGTAAATATTACTTTGGTGATTAGAGTGCTGCCGACATTAAATTTAATGTTCATTCTGTTTCAGAAATATCCACTCAAGTCCAGCGTGTTTAAAGAATTTCAAATCCAGGATACCTCGAAATCTGAAGATAGGACTTTACCGCTTTGATGCCAGTGTTGATCCAACAAAGTACACTATCAAGCCTATAGAAGTAGCAAAAACAGGGGGACGAGGACCTGATGGTAAATAATAAAGTTCTGTGACATATTTCTATATGTATCAGTACCTCAGAATTACAAAGTTCTATATGACATTTTTGGCTATTTTGAGTTACTAAGATCATGAGATCAGAAACCAAATGTTCTATCTGCTCTATCAAAATCATAAGATTATTCGGAGTCATTATCAAGATATTCTAAGAATTGCATAGAAAAAGCTAGAGATATGACGCGAGACTCAAAGTATTTGACCTCAAATTTCTCAAAATTAGTTACTGTGCTGATCGAACTTTGAAATTCTGAGGTAGAGATATGTATGTTTAGTTTATTATTTTGAAGTAAAATTCTATTAGATTGAGATAGTAACGGTTAAAAAATACTGAAATACAGTGCCCCTGAAATTTGCATAATAATGAAAGATATTTATAAAATATTTACAGTCAAACACCGGTAACTCGAATTCGTCTGGGATTTGAATTACTGTTCGACATTTCCGTAATTCGTCATGTCCGTGAAAGCCCCAAATACAAAGAAAAAGAGAAAATCAAGGGCAGTAAAAAATAACATTAAAACAATTATCACAGTTAGCCCCCTTGATGAACGTGTTAACGGTGTGGAAGCAAGAAGATGAATGAAATGTAAAGTAGAAAATCTCACGTGTGCACAGTCGACTCCTACGTCATTCCTTTCCTCTCATTTCATTGGCTTACAGAAAGTTATGCCTCTTGCCATCTGCACCCACGCGCGTCCCACTGCAATGGCGAGCCACCCGTGCGGTGTGGTCATCATCACTCCCCAACACCACCTCCTCCTTCCACATCCCCCCTCCTCCAGTCTCTTGTGGTGAGACAAGGACCACGTTTTGGCTGTAACAATAACCAAGAAACACCTACCCTCTGCCAGAATGGCTGTAAAGCTGGGTCTTTTAGTTGAGATGCGAAGTTGATTTGTTTGTTGAGATTCGGATGTTGCGTGTTCCAAGTGTTCGGGAACTCTGTGACGTCAATACAAAGAAAACATAGGGACTGAAATGGGACTGAGCATTATGTTCGAGATACGCGAGACTTCGTGATTTTCATGTTTGAGATTCACGGACTCTACTGTATGTAGTGTTTTTACTCCCCTATCTACACAATTTAGAACATTAGGAGGCTGGCTTCTGACTGCCTGTCGGGGCCAACCTGAACTTTAAGGCATACAACATCCCAGTAGGTAGACAGAGATAATTGATAAATGTTCTCCCCACTCAGGAATCTATATCGGGTTTCCTGCATGCAACACAAAGTGCTGATCCCCTACACTGCAGATGCCAGTATGGTAAATGTGAACTCAATGCATTCAAGTGCTGGGTGTCTCAAAGTAAGAGAACCCATCTGAAGGGCAATAACTCGACCATCTTTGCTTCAGTTTCACTCGGCAAACTTTGTTCAAGTGAAATTCAACCAAGGGGATCATGTCACATGTGTCAGTGTGAAGAAAGTGAGCCTGTGTCTTTGAAAATAATTATGTTTTTTAAGTTTCAACCAAAACTGAGAAAAACACCATACGTAACAGCTTCGTTAAAGGATCAAGCATAATGTGTATATATGCATCAACCCCTTTGTTGCCTTGTTGTGATGTACACGGTACGGCCTGAAAATGTATTATTTTTAGCTTTGTGTTGTACTGTGGACATTTTGGAAGTTGGAAAATTTTACACGAGCACAGTGTGGATTCATATTTGGACATTTTAAATATGCATTCGGGTACCAAATTTGCTCGTATTTCTGTATTGCAGATGATAGCGTGCTCTTGCAAATTGTAAATACCAAAATGACTGACAAAAAAGAAAAACGGCAGCTAATTTCACTTTGTGACTCAAACATGCAAGTTGTTTGAAATTATGGGGTATTTTTTCCTTCTTTGTAGGGTCCCTGCCTTCAGGCGGCCACATTCCGATTTCAAAGATTATTTTCTTTTAAATTAATTTGTTCTTTGAAGCCCCCAAGTACACACTATGGTGTATTTGCAAGAAGTTGTAGAATTTTGTATTTTACTCAGTTTTGGCTGAGCTTTTAAAAACTTGATGTTTCTTGAATATGGCGTTCGGTTGAAATTGATGCAAACATAACTGAGTAACTTGCTCTTTAAATGGATCCCTGTTAAAAAAAATAATTGTTTAGACACTCTGTATGATCACACCAATCGCTGTTGTTGGTTTGTCTTTAGGTAAGAGAGAGTGCTTTTATTTTGAAAATGACCTGTTGTGATACTAGTGTTAAATGGGTTGTTAAAAGTAAGGACATGATTACTTTTCCTAAATTGTGAGGCAGAAAGATGAAGTCCATTCAGTCTATTTGCGTGTGCAGTGAAGGAGAGAAAGAGGGAGTGGCTGACTCAATTTGTGATGGTAATATCCTTTTCATCATAGTTTTTCTGAGTGGGCTGTGAGGTGATATCTTACCTTTCCAAGAATATATCTTTTCTTCTTAATTAACCCTGTCCGTATGCCCTGGGGTAATTTTGTACCCCCGTGGTTGTATTCTTCACATTTTAGAATACTTCTAGTACAAAGACCTCTTTGAGACTTTTAGTATTTTTCAAAAAATCATTTTGACAAACTGCTATGCAAAGCGTACGGATTGGATTAACGAGTAAATTTCCTCTTTGGAATGTGGTGGCACAGAGTTTCCCACGTCGTATGGATATGATAGTAAAACACGACTTGCGGATAGGGTTAAGAAACTCATATCATTTATGAAAATGAAATAATTATTTTATAATCACTGATGTTTTTTGTTTTTTTTGTTATATTTCAGGAAGAATTTGGATCCACAAAATTGGTGGAGGCTTCAAAAAGATGTATCGAATGATAGATTTCCATAGGGTTGGTCCAAAGGAAGGCGAACCGAAGGTTGAGAAAGTCTACGAGGTGATCAAAGATGACTGTCGCACTGCTAATATAGCCCTTGTGGCAGCAGGAAATCATAAACGATGGATTTTAGCTTCTGAGAACATGAAGTCAGGAGACTTGATCAAAACATCTGGAACTGTCACAGCTATGCCAGGTGAATAAAGTTGAATTTTAATCCTCTGAGGAAAATCTTAAATTGAATGTTATGCTTGTCATTGTAAATTTTGCATTATCCTTTTCGGGGGGGGGGGGGGGGGGGGGCATAGTGAATACTAGCATTGTACGCACAAAGTTTTGAAGGTGAAAGCACTATGTCGGTTTTGTCAAAAGACTTCTGAAATTTGTTACCGTTGGACAAATGTTTTATTGACATCCATGTAAAGAACTTTTCTGATGTGTGCACCAGAGGGGCTGATGCCATATATTTATATTTCTTTAGAATCCTTAACTCACTGACTACTGGCCCCTTTCACAAATCACTAGCGCTGAGTACTGGCATTTTTGGGGGGTATTTCAAAACACCACCACAACTCTCAGAATTATCCTATTGTAATTATTTTTTGACACAGTAAAGTAACTTTCAAACTTAGTCTATTGCAAAAAAATTAAGTTCTCTAGGTCTAATACTTTAATTCTTATGATTGTTTCAAAATTGGAATGAATTTGATTTTTGGAAAAATTTCCAGAGACACGAAAAGATAGAATGAAATTCACAACAACAACAAAAATAAAAGTTCAAAGTGTTCTGTTTTGATTTGTATCCATGTGTGAGTGTTTGGTGAAAATATAAAAGCTGGTCTGTGCGTTTATTCAGACCCATACACTGAATTACAAGAGACAGATGTAGGGAACGAAGTTGTGATTTCGTTGCGCGAACAACAATAACAGTACTAGTGCTAGATCTAGATCTAGCCCTAAAACAACGACTCGGGCCGTGTTCGGGTACATATCCAGGGTCCTAACTATCAGACACATCATATCCTAAGTCACTAGAACATACAGAAGTATCGAAAACAACGAAATTATGTGATTCTTTTTCATGCGACCGTTACTTCAACACGACTGTCGGATTACTATCATTTGTATAGAAAAAACATAGCCCGAGTTCCGGTCAGGTCAACCCCAGATGAGGTGACTGTCCTTCACCTTCAATTGCTTAAAAAGTTACCACGAAACTTCCGCCAAACTCGGCACGAAACGAAACAAGAGGCAAAACTAACACTGGAGTCCGTTCCCGTTCATGTGACTGGAGCACAAGATACGGAACAAAACCACGAAGTCCATCCCGTCGGGGGTACGGGATCCGTACCTGCGAACCGACCGTCCGCCCCGTACCCGTGACGGGATCCGTAGTCAGTGAGTTAAAGTTCTCTTTGGCTCGTACTTAAGCAATATGTTGTTGGAACATTCAGTCTAATCATGCACATGGCGAATATGCATGTTAGTGAACACACACATAAATAGATTTTCAGGTCCCAAATTTTTTTTCTTGTACACATAGGCTTATGTGTATTTTTTGCATTTAAAACATGTATTTAACGAAATTTGCGCATCAAAAAGTTTTCCCAATCCCTCTGATTTCGCTATGTGCAAGCTTGTCTGTACATGCTTCATTTCAACTCCCGTGAAAATATTTTCATTGTTTTTCTTTTCAGCCCAGTATTTTTTTTATATATAATTTTGTGCTTATTTTTCCCCCTTGAAACAGCAAGGTAAACTTAAGACTTTTTATTGTTCATATTGTAATAAAGAGCAATGATTTTTACACATTTGATCCTGCTGAACCATTTAGTCGTCCAAAACACTTTATGGTGCTAAATAATAATAATAATAATAGGTACCATTTGTATAGAGGGCAAAATCCCGCTCCAAAGCAAGTTCTATGTGCTTTACAATCTATACTATTACCCTAGTAGACCTGATAGCATTCTGAAACAATCTCAACTTCCCGGGAAACGCACAGTGCAAGCTGCCATTTATAGGCACTAAAGCACTAACATACTGACAAGATCTTTTGCTCTCTTTTGCTGGGTTCTCTTTCTCTCCTGGGTGAAGTGAGGAAAATTCATGTAAATGCCTTTCCCAAGGACACAGCGTCAGGCCTGCAGCTCAAATCCCCCCCCAGACGCGCAACCCTAAGATTACGAGTCAAAGAAGCCTAACCACTAGACTACTTTCTCCACAAGAAAAGTGAATGTTTGGTGCAGGTTGTCTTATCTAGGTCAGCATCTGGAAGTTGCCGATTTATTGTCGTAATTTGAGTCCCTATTTTGGTTCTTTTATCCTGCTATATATTTTTTTTTTCATATCGCCAAACATTTTAGCTCCTTCACAAATGGGAGCTACTTCTTATTTATTTACCTTCTACTTTCTTAAAGTGTAAAGGGGGGCTCTTGTGGTCTAGAGGTGATGGTGTTCGCCTCTCTTTCAGTAAGTCTCGGGTTCACATTCTGACAGTGAAGGTAAATTTTCCTCTCTAAAAATGTTCTCCTTTCCTGCTCTGTAATCATGTTCTGTCATCTGCTTTCATCTCAACTTTCTACGCCCACAATCGTATTAATTCATAAATACGATAAGGTTTTTTTTACCGCCAAATTGGCTTTGGGGCACTTTTTTCAGTACTGTAGGTGGAACAATAGCATATGTGAATATGAATTTGAGGTTTGAATTTTCTCTTTTTGGGGGCACAGATAGACGATTCTGATTTTTAAAAAAAAAGACATTAATGCACATGCTAATACTTTTGTCCGTTTCCCTGCAGTGCGAGCTCAGGAAGGAGATGCTCATCCTGTTGGCTCCTTGCCTCTGGGTACTCTGGTCCACAACATTGAGGCTTTAGTAGGCTCAGGGGGCACCGTAGCCAGGGCTGCTGGTACATCCGGGCTCTACGTTCGCAAGGTTGGAGACAAGTGTGTTATACGCATGCCCTCGAAACGAGAACTGGTCATATCGCAAGAGTGTATGGTGACGATTGGGCGCGTCTCCAACGTTGAACATCACAAGACCAAGAAGATGCGCAAAGCTGGAGAGAACCGATGGCAGGGACGGCGGCCTCACAGCGGCTGGTGGCAGCGGAAGACGGGCTACCACGGCCGCAAGATCAAGCCACTGAAGGCCCCCATGGTCGTGGAGAGAGCGGCAGAGGAGGCGCCCTACGCTCACAGTTTCACTTTTTGATGTCGTGTGCTTGTGTTGAAATTGAAAGGAAGACTGTGTATCACATTGTGTGAGGTTTTCGTTTGATGGGTATGAGATGGGAGGAAGAGACGGTTCTCGAAACGTTATCACTCCACTGAAATTATTTCTCATCTTTGTTGAAAGTTAAAGAAGTAAGACCCAAGGCTTAAAAGGCACTCGTGATTGTTGATTTTGAGTAAGTAGAGTGTTTGTAGCATGGATTTGATGAGTGCTAGTTATTTGATATTGAAGGGTTTCTGAATTGTATGTATGAGATTCGGTCCAATTTGTATTTGTGTGCTGTGTTTTGAGTTCTCCGGAATTCTTTTTTTTTTTTTTTTTACATTTTGCGGTCACGCAGCCAGCAGTACGAAATACCCCACTTGATCACCCAGCCAGGAGAGTGACTGCAATGGACTTCTCGGGCCTGGTTCAGAACTGCGCCAGGTGACTAGAACGAAATTTTCACCGCCGCATTATTGCGCCAAGTGACGCAAAGTGTTAAGAGAGTGCACTCAAAGTCAAAGGGTGTATGTACAGTGGAGTTATTATTGTCAGTGTAAATGATGATTTTAATTTTGGCAGTAACAATAACATTTGGAAGACAATGAAATGAAGTGCTTGTGCGTGTAACAAATGTTCCCTTTGTGCTCGATGCTATATGTGATGATATGTCTTGTTGGTTGTAGAACTTGTCATAAAATTGTGAAAATGATCTGTTTTTGGTTGATCTAGTGGTCAGAGTGATATTTAATAATGTAAATTCTATTGCATTGTGTTAGAAAAAAAAGTGTGCAGAATTAATAAAATGGAATACTTCTTATGTAAAACTTGTTCTCCAAGCTCTGTTTCATGTTGTTGTTGTTAGCGATCCAGTAGCATCTGAGCGTTAACTCTTCTGCATGATGCCATTCGGTAATAGCTGCAAGTCTGTTCTAATTGTTGTCTTGAGGAGTAGAGGCAATTAGATGTGTGGGGTAGCTTCCCCTTAAATCAGTTAGTTTTCTACAGAAGAGCAAATGATGTTCCACTGTCTCTGAGGGGTAGTCACATAGTGGGCAGGCAGCAGACTGCTTTACTCCAATTCGGTTGAGAAGTTGGTTGAGGGGTACATGTTGTGTTCTAAGTTAGAAGATTATGGATTGATCTCCCCTCTTCAACTCATTGATTGGATCTTTGACCAGTGGTTTATAATTCATGCGGCCATACATCATCCTTCCTGTGGTACCTGTGGCCCAATCATTCATCCAGTCTTCCTTGAGGTTTGACTTGGTCATTTGGCCGCAGGTGATGTAATCAGTAAGAATTTCAGGCTGAGGGAGGCTAGCTCCTTTCTTTGCTAGAGCATAAGCTCTTTCATTTCCCTGTATCCCAGTGTGGGCAGGAATCCATTGTAGGACTACTCTGACTTGGTGCCTACTTATCAAATTATGTAGACTCCAAATCAAGTGCAATACAGTGGAACTCGGATTCAACGAGCTCGGATTCAACGAGATGAGATAGATTCCCCGTTCTTTTTCTTCTTTAAAATCGCTAAAAATAACGTGGATTCAATCAGTGAGCTCGGATTCAAGGAGGTCGCTTCCAGGGTGAACAGCCCCCGCAGATATGGCTTCGCTCATTTTTCTCCCACAACAAACTTTATCTATTCCCGGAAACCATCCATCGCAACTGCATCTTGAACCATTATTCACGTAGCCAATTGCATGCGACCAATCAGCGGCCTTTTTTCATACCAACACATGCGTTGTTGGCTCGCGCACGTGTCTTCTCTGGTGTGTGTTGGGGTCGGATGGGCGGCCTGCACTCGTGCGGCTGTGTGTGCGTGTCGGGGAGGGGGGACGCACTAGCGGTCCGGGCGTTGAACGTCTCAGATACAAACGCGTCAGTCTTTTTTCCCCCTCGGCAACTGATCATTATTACAATGATAAGCGATATAGTCTTGACGTAGATCTTCGTAATGAATTGTGCGCTTGTCTATGAAATCAAAAGTTGCCTTATGCTAGGCTCTACACAGCAACACAACTTTGTAGTAAACAATCGAGATGACACAGGAGTGCATTTGAACGAATCGGTCTTTTTTTTTTGCACAGCTCATAATTATGCCAGCATTTCAGGCACTACTTGTGACTTCTCTTTATACATTACATGTTCAGTGCCTGTAATTGTCTGCACAAAACCTCGTGTTTGCTATAAACGAACACTCGGATTCAACGAGATTTTAGGTCAGGCCCGGCGACCTCGTTGAATCCGAGTTCCACTGTACTTCCTTTGTACAGGGTGCCCATTGTGGATGGGATTGGGTTGGGTCGGGATGATCACCTGACTTGTCGCGTTTGTTTTTGAGGCAATCAGTCGGGCGCAATCAGCTTATGCCACGATAGCCGCTTTGCACCCTCAATCTGGCTAGCAAACCGACCCAATCCCCTAATGGTCCTGTTTTTGGACTGAATCATCTTCTAGCTGAATCTAGATCTACAGTAAATCAATTGTTAACACGATTGTCTGATTACTTAGCTCGCGTTTGGTTCTGTAGCATCAGGTAGATAGATCTAGATCTAGTATAAAAATATGTGAAAGACTTTAAATTTAAGGCTAGGAGGGTAGATCTAAATCTATACATGGATCGATTCATCTAGAAAACCCCTAAACGTCAACGAGAGTTTAAGGACCTGGTGCATGTGTCACGGGACAAACTGTTTTGTACTCCATGCAGTTGTGGGTTTTTTTTCGTACGCATTCACATTTACTTTGTGGATGGTTGGCGGGTGCTCTGGTATTTGCTCCTTCATTCCTATCAAACAACTATCGTCCTTATCTCCCCTCATTCTTTTTTATGTTTGTTACTCTCTTGTAACACCTCATATCTTCGGCACTTATGTGACCTTATTGTGTTGCAAGTGCCATAAAACGCTTACTAAAACAAACATTTACTTTAATATTTTTATCTAACGAAACTCATATTTGTTACTTTGATTGCAATGAGCATACCAACAATGTATTCCATTAATTCCAAGAAATTTGTTTAGCTCTGTTGTTAAGCTATACATGTCTTGCAACTTTTTTTGCAACTTTTGTTATTTTCAAATGCAACTTTCTCCAGGGACAGCATAAGATAAGATCAAAAATCTTTACTGTCCAGATACTGGCACATTGATTTGGTGTTTCACCACAGACATACACACGCACACATGCTTACGCACACCCATACACGCTCTCTCACACCATGGTCCCTCGGCCTTGACAAGCAAATCTAATTCGGGGCCTGCTGCTGTACTACCAAAGATTCAACACTATTGTGGGGAGAGGCAGGCATAGGCTTATGTACGTGGACGGACACGTACAGTGTACGTGGGCACGTACAGCCAGGGGATGAAATCGACAAGCTTACACTGAAATGTGGGGGCAGGGCGGTGTCGCTGTCTCAAAATGAGCAATTTGTAGGTGAGGCTACTGTTGATTATTTATTTTAGTGATCCTGTGTATGCATCCAAAGAGCGTTTTTTAATAAAGGGCCCAAAGAGAAAACCTTTTTCTTACTGGGTCGAGGTTTAAAAAAAATATATTTTTGATTGGTGGCTTGCCTGCTGAAGTGCCTTGCAAAGTTTCGTTGGCTTAGGTAAATTTCTGAATGAGCTAAAAAAAATTTAAGCTGCCAGACGAAAGTGAACAAGCTATAGATCCAGAGGGGGCTTTCGTGGCCCAGAGGTTAGGATGTTCGCCTCTCATTCAAAGGTCATGGGTTCAAATCCGGGTACCAAATTCTTCTTTAAAATTGTCTCCTTTCGCCTCCTTTCCTGCTCTCTTACAATGTTATGTCGTTTGATTTCGTCTCCGCTTTCTGTCCCTACTCCCTCGCCTCCTTTGCCTCCACCTCTGGGCTCCTGGCTCTTTATGCAGCCTTTCAGTTCTACTGCTTCTCCTTGGCTCTTTCTTACTGCTGTCTTTCAGCCCCTCCCCTGGTCTTCTGGTAGGAAAGATCTACACCTAGCCTTCTCGGACAAGGGCGAAAAATCTCGGAGGTCTCTGTGAAAGTTGCGCATGTTAAAGATCCTTTGGTGATCCAAAATCGATAAGAGTAGGCTTCGGCTGCCACCCGGGCAAAATTCAAAATTTCCTACCAAGCTCATACTCATATGACCTTAATGCAGTTGCGAGCGCCGTAAAACACTTACAAAAAAAGTGATGAAACAGTACACCTGTACTGCTACAAGACCGTCAGCAAAAAGGGTGGAGACGATGTGGCCTGCATGCTGCTACATTACCTTCTGCACATTCTGCCAGCTATAGTGACTTGTGCGCCGGCCAGAACAATAACTGGTTTGTTTCTCTATCATGTACACCAGGAACGGAATGAAAATGTGAAAATCTTGTTTCCAGTGAGAAGCCACAGCTACATGAAATGCGACAGAGACATGGCAGTGGTGAATGAGAAGGTCGGTGTGTGCCAGCCAGCTGGGTGGAGCAATTGAATCAAGATCGCCCTTCGGAAACCCTCACTGCTCAGATAGATAGTGGGGATGACACAAGCCCTGTTCCAGAATGTGTCAGAAAACCTTCAACATAACGACCTCTGCTTGAAATCTGCATCTCACAGGCCCATCCTCAGCTAATGCAGTAAAGAGAGAGAGCTGGAATGGTCTGTTTCCCACCGCAATCATTAAAAAGCCGGTGGAAAAGAAGCGCGCTGCAAGACCCCAAATCCTGAAACCCCTCTATAACTATAAGAGCCCATTGTCCATCAAAGCTGCCAAATATGCAGACATGAAGATCCTAAAGGTGTTCTGGCCCGACAGCTTTTCTCCAAATTGCCTCGTGCTGGAGGACCACGTGCCACACAAGAGTGATGACTCAGAATCGTCATCCAAAAATGAATATAAAATTAGATTAAACTTAGTATATATTGCAAAAAGGAGAGCGATTTTCTTATCTGAATCACTTATTTTTGTTTGTAGTATTCACAAATGAGGAAAGAAACTCATTATTCATTGACTTCCAAGAAGATGGAGACCTATCCAACAAGTGACAAGGGAAAAACCAGCGATATCAGTTTTCTACATATTTTTTCTATTTTGCTCTCCCCGAAACACCCATAACGCGGGGACTAAAAAATTCTCAATTTCAACTTAAATGGTCACACTTGGAGTCAATGTAAACAGAGGAAAGATCATTGTAGCAGAAAAAAAAATTATGTCTTGTTTAAAGTTTGTTTTTCAATTATCTCGGAATTGCCAAAACCAGACATCGCTGGTTTTTTTCCTTGTGCCCTTCATTTTTTATTACACGCATTGTCAAACGTAGGCAGGTTTATCCATAGAAAGGCCAGGTACAGTGGAACTCGGATTCAACGAGGTCGCCGGGCCTGACCTAAAATCTCGTTGAATCCGAGTGTTCAATATAATTAATTATAGCAAACATGAGGTTTCTGTGACATAGATGATTACAGGCACTGAGCAAGTAATGTAAGGAAGTAACAACTGGTGCCTGAAATGCCTGCAGATTATGAGCTGTTCCAAAAAAACAAACAAACAAAAAAGACCGATTTGTTCAAATGCACACCTGTGTCATCTCGATAGTTTGCCAAAAAGTTGTGTTGCTGTGTTGAGCCTAGCATATAGCAACTTTAAAAATGTTGATTCATTAGACTATTATTAGACCGGCGCACAATTCATTACGTAGATCTACGTCAAGACTAGCTTAGCATTGTAATAATAATGAGTTGGGGGAGGGGGAAGAGAGAGACTATGACGCGTTTGTATCTGCGACGTTCCACGCCTGGGCCGCTGGTGCCCCCCTTCCCGACACGCACACACAGCCACACGTGTGCAGA